CCCCCTTAAATGTTGTCACCCGGTGCGGTCCACACACATACCCTCCTCCACCCCTCTGGTTACGATAGAAAGTTTTGAGAAATTCAATGTAGAATTCAAATGCATTGTGAAGACAAAATACCACATGATCTTTAGCAGAAACGGGAAGTTTGTTTTACTACAGAGACAAGAGAAGAGACAGTGGAGAGCGACAGTAGAGTAACCTAAATGTGGTGGATATGGGTGCACCACCAGAATGACTGTAAATCACCGCTATATAAAGCATGTGCTGTTGTAGAATCAACGGGGAAATAGGAATTGTGGGATGCTAAAAAAAAGTCATGGAGCAAATCGTTTGATTTGGGACGGTTAGACTGGATCGTCAGAGATGTAGCTTAAAAAAAGTTTGTTTTCTCCTTAAGGAGCCGAAAAAAAAAGAATCACTAAAGATTTGAGCGTGGTTCGTAGAAGGTGCGATTCAATTTGATTCATTTTTAGTCGTGTTTTAAAAAACAATTTCCAAAACTAATATAATAGTTTTGGATTAGTTGCACAAAACAACATCAGTCGTCGTGCTGTATGCCTACCGTGGTCGGAAGTTCTTCATCGTTTAGCAGGCCTGGTTAACGTAACTAAATCTTGTTATGAAATAAGCAATCAAACGCCCTTCTCTTCGGTACAGGTCACAAATGTTATAGTAAATTCGAACTCAAGACTCCCGGGTTAGCACTTTAGCTCACTACCGCTAGGCCACACCGTTCCAAAAAAAAAAGGTTTTATGTACTTTTAAATATACGAAGCCTGGTTATATTTATCGTCGGTCTTAAAATTTAGGCCAAACAGTATCGCCTTCTACTCCACCCACTCCGATCGTATGTTATTTTACTGGTACGACGACCATATTATTATTAGTATCCATGAAGTTTTGTGTATCTAAAACAATGGATCCAGGCAATATGAGTTGCAATTATTAAGTAAAAGTCTCTGATCTCACACTTTGAAGTTGAGAGAAACATTTAAACTACAAATAACTAGTCGCGTCATTTCTTAACAACAGTGGTTTCTTTTCTAAGTGTTAACAGATTGATCAAATCTCCGTTCGATTTACATTGGCGGAAAAGTGCACCCTTCCCCATCTTGGAAAATGTTAGTGAGCAGTTTTTTTATACTAGTCACTGTCTTTCAAATCTATTTCTTTTACGGTTACAAAATCTACTCCGCAATCCGGAGTAAATCCTTCCGATTTACGTTGGCAAAAAGCCCCCCCCCCCCCACATGCCCTCGTATCTCCTCAAAAAAATTTGAGGGTATTTGTTTTACTATTACACAATCAAGGCAGAAAGCCTTGCAGCATTTTATTTTCAATATTGCAGTTTAAAATGAGCATTCTAATTTTTTTCCTACCTCACTTGGCGCCCCGTTAGAGTTGGGGGAGGGGCGGTCGCCCCGACCCTAGCTAAGCCATCGCAAGCGCCGTATCGAATAGTAAGATCACATTGAAATCTAGATTATATAAATCTATATATATAATTCTCTTCTGGGAGCCGTTAGAAAACAAGCTGCAAGCGCCTCCTTGCAGTCCCCTCTCTTTCTCTCTATCACTATCACTACCACCCCCACCCCACCCCCACATTGTCTGGTGAGCTGTGGTCACGCTGTTTACATTTTACAATCATAGAGACGGGTTTGGTGACGGCTATTAGGGGCAGATAATTTAGTTTGAAACGATTTTAAACTTAGAGGAGGTAACTAAGAGGAGGCTGCTTTCACGTGGGGGGGGGGGGGGGGTAGTGTTTTTGAGCAAATATTTTCAGTGGCAGCATTGGTACTGTCGAATTCACAAATTATAAATGACTGAAAAGTAGAAAAAAAAACAACTAAATAGCGGCGTATGATACGCAGCGGGTCGGCCCGTATAATATAATACAATAGTAGGCTGTAAGGTTTAGAGACCTACATAACATTTCTTTTTTATGCGTATAACACATTTTATTATCTTAGGCAACACATGGAGTTATACCGTTGGCTATTAGTCTAATAAATAATTTCCTAATACAAAGCCTTGATTTTAAATACCTTTATTTAACTTGCTCAGTATGTTTGTGTGTGTGTGTGTGTGTGTCTGTGTGTGTGTGTGTGTCTGTGTGTGTGTGTGTGTGGCTCCGCAAATCTTGAAATCAAAATTTAACCCTTTCCATTGTTCGATTTAGCTGAAATTTGGCACATTGGAAGATCTTGTAAGATAATGCTACATTATCTAATTTTTAACTAGACACAATTAGAAATCATAACAATTTTAAAACGTCACTATATTCAATAATAAAAGGGGAGATAACAAGATACTTTTTAAAATAAAATACTAGCGATCACTTAAAACGAGAGCCGTCGATGGTGAAATCTATTCGGCTCACGAGTGGCGTAGCTAGGGGAGGGCGGGTGGGGCGACCTCCCCGGGCGCCGACCCTAAGTGGGCGCCAAAAGGTGTGACAAAGCATTAATTATTATGAGTCAAAGTTAAGAAAGCAAACGGCTACAAAGCTTTACACACTGATCTGGATCTGTTTTCCACATTATTTATTTAGCACCAAAAAATAAAACATCTTTACATGATATTGAATGGTACAAAGCGCCACAAACCTTTACAACTAAGGGGGGGGGGGCTTCTTTTCACCAAACTCGAATAACTATATAAATGGGCGGGAGGGAGGGGGGGGGGGCGCAAAATGGATAGTTTGCCACTGGCGCTGGAATGGGTCGCTACGCCTCTGGATCATGGTTGGCTTATTTCGACATTCGTCGTCTACGTACTAATTAGGGGCAGTTAACTCAATTTTAGTGATCACCAGCTACTGGGTTTATCAACTTCATTTCGAACGAATTACTAGAAAGTGGAAAGTAAATCTCAGATTTAAAAACAGTTTTTAAGGAAATAGGCTTTTATTATGTTCACAAATCACAAAACAAATAATGCACTAAAAAGTAAAAAAATAAATTAATTAATTTTGGGTGGTGTAGCCTTACTAATGCTAGATCTATATCTAAATGCTGATATGACCAAAAATAAAAGCCTGGGCGCTCAATTATGAAAATTAAACATATCTAGATCTATATCTTATAATATGTAGGTCCTATAGGCCTACAACGTAAACCTATCAATGAATTCCTTATGAAAGGGAATATATCCTCCGCAAGAAAGCGCCCAGTATTTTATTTTCAGTCACACCAACATATACAGTTATACAGATGTAGATTCTAGCCAGAGGCGTAGCTAGGGGAGGGCGGGGAGGGCGGCCGCCCCGGGCGCCGACCCTAGGGGGGCGCCAAAAGGGGTAGAAAAAAAAATTAAAAGCTCATTTTAAGATGCAGTTTTGAATTATAAACAGTCAAAGTAAAGAAATTTAACGGCTGAGAGCCTTTGCATACTGATTTAACTGTTTTCTACCTTGATTGTGAAACTGTAAAACGTATATCTTTAAGAAACAGTGACCGGAAAAACCGCTTTCCAGCTTTCCTAGATGGGGTGGGGGGGGGGCGCTTTTTCGAAGACTAAAATAGGAAAATTCACACCGGATTAAGGAATAAATAACCGATATCACTCAGAAAAGAAACCCATTGAACTAAAGCGCATTTCAACGATTGTGTAACATAAAAAAGAGTTAGTGACGTTTAAAATCCGCTCTACCATTTTTGTCCAAGATGGTGGGGCACTTTTTCTCTAACAAAAATCGCAGGATTTGAACTGAATCGGTTGCTAGATAACTCTTTTAACACTTAGAAAAGAAATCAATTGTATTAACACTTAATGTACGATTTCACTACCCAGTTTTGCTAAGTAATAACGCGACTAGTTCTTTGTACGATTCTTACGATTCTCTCAACTTGATCGTGATAGATCAGATACTTTTCTTTGATTGCATTACATCTTGCCTGGATCACTGCATTAAAGAGAAATAAATATAACGGATTCTTGTATCGCTATCCGATCAGTAAAATAGCACTGTCGAAGCGGGTGGATGGGAAGCGACACTCTTTGTCAAAATTTTAAGAGAGAAGAAAATTAGTATATTGTACTAATTATTACTTTGTTCAACCTAACTGATAATTCAAAATTGGCCTACTATTATCGAAATTGTTCTAAAGACACGACCAAAAGTAGACCAAATAAGGCTTGCGCCTTCTATAAAATACACTCTAAAGCAGTGGTTCTTAACTTTTTGGAGTACCGAACCCCACCAGTTTCATATGCGCAATCACCGAACCCTCCTTAATAGTTGTATCGTCCACAATGACGAAATCCGATCGTGAATCCTATGAGTCGGCTGTGTGTCTTGACCTCCGCGGAAGCCCTGAGACTGAATTACCGAACCCCTTGGGTTCGATGGAGCCCACTGTTGTAAGCTCTTGGGAATTTAATTGGCGTCCCTTGAAGTTTTAGGTAACGACAATCAGCGTATGTTGTTAATTTTTTTCCAGACTGTCGCACACACAAACACACACGCATATATATATATATATATATATATATATATATATATATATATATATATATATATATATATATATATATATATATATATATATATATATATATATATATATATATATATATATATATATATGGGGGGGCGCCAAACTGAAAGTTCGCCCCGGGCGCCGGGAGGGGTCGCTACGCCTCTGATTCTAGCTAAAGTAAGGTTACACCAAACAATTGAAACTAAATTTATTCTTTCTCTTTACTGTTTAGTGCATTTTTAATTATTTGTGATTGTTCTGTGATTTTGTGATAGATCTAAGCCGTTTACCATTTTGTTTTTAATTTTTTTTGTGTGTGAGAGTTATTTATTTTAAAATGCATTAATTCATGTGCATTCTCTTGTTAACAAAATACAAAAGCATTTAGATCTAGATTCTAACTCTAGATCTGGTAACTCCGAGAGAATAAAACTGAGGTGAAAAGAATGGGTATGCCCCACGAAACTGGGTCAGTTGTCACGTGATGTAAACAACATCCACCGTAAGAATATTTAGCGACAGATTTTTCATGCACAGAAATGTATCTTTCGTCCTACTATGCTACTGTTTGATTTATGTACACTTAATTACGTTTTAGTGAAAGTTATATCAAATTTTTGTTTAATTAAATCTACATGGAAGTGCAAAATAAATAAATAAAGATTTATCTAAGGTATGATTGTCCCGACGTTTCCCATCATTCCACGAGCTTGAGCATGCGTAATGGCCTGGTTGTATTGTAGCAGAGAAGACTTGTTCAAAACAGAGATGGGATACCGTGTGTTTGTTTATATTTTCCCCCTTCTCGTCCGTTTAAAAAAAATAATAATTAAATAGATCTATGTTTATACTGTAATGTTAGCAACTTCTCATGCAATTAGTAATTTTAAAAGTAACTGCTGTATTAAAATAAAATATGCATTTTGATACTCGGGGTCGTGCAAGTCGCAAATCTTGGTAGGATATTTTGCTAACCGAGACTACGCGACCGAAGTAGAACAGTAGCCTGACTTAGTAGGCTAGTGTAAGTAGGCTAGTGGCTGCGATAACATTCGTTTCGTCCACAAACTGAGCATTTAGCCTTGCTGAAAGTCGAAGATTTTAAAACCACTAATCTAAACAGAACTCGATCAAGACATTTAGGATGATTTAGTTAAAGTTAAACAATTATAATTAGGCCTATGTTGACAATATTGGATTTAAAACATAATGACGGTGAATTTCTACAATAAAAATATTAAAATAATTAATAAATTCTAATAGCTAAACTAGATAAATCTTAATAAATTTAGAATAATAAAATAAAAAATAACAGTAAAAAAACAGGCCGATTTCACTCGACTGCAAAATAAGGTAAACACCGTTAGGCCTACTTAATTAAATCGTACAGTGGGATTTGCCTGCATTACTCAAATTACTGGCATTAAGATATTTTATTAATTTAATGGTGTTGAGCCCTACGATGACTATGTTGTAGTAATTTAATAGACTATACACTATTGGACAATTATAATCATTCAGAGTAATTTAGACAAGTTAGTAAGATCTAGAGAGAGATCTAGAGCTAGACTTTCAAATAATATTTTAGATTTGATATTACTGACTGATTAGGCTTACTTGAAATCATCATTATTTCATTATGGATCAGGATAGCCTAGCCTAATCACAATCAGTCTATCAGTAGTAGATCTGGGCCTAATAGTCACTAATCTATTTATAGGCCTATTGTTTATATTAGTTACATTAGTAGAGAAATTTAATTTATCTAGAATAATCTAGACTCTAAGACTAGTCACTAGAAAAATAGAAACTAAACAAATATTTACTATTTGAAATACTAGAGCTTACTTCAAGATAACATATTGGTCAATGACGCAGTACAGCTTTTGTTAAAATAATGCAGCAGCAGCTAAATAATTCAAACAGCACATACAGAAATGTCCCAGGATCTCAAGAAGGTCTGTTAGTGTTGTGTAGTGTTTGTATTATAGTTGATGACCTCAAGCCCTAAAAATGACTAAACAATATAATGGTGTTTTAGTTTTTAGGCCTGTAGATTATCAGATTTATGAGTATACCAGTGTCCCATAATGATAATGCTATTTAAATGGAATCTTCTTAAAAAATGGGGTGTTATGTTACTGGTAGTAAACTAAATATTAATGTAACTTGCTAATGTCAACACTATCCTAACAACACCTGTCCGAAACTCTAACCAGTCCTTCTATGGCTCTTACCTGACCATAACACTAAACCTTAGATTTCAATACTGTTAATACACCTATTTTTGGAAGAGTCTATTGTTGGACACAGGGACAGCGTGATAGAATGGTAGAGCGTTGGGCTGCTTGCCTGAAGGTCTTGCGTTCTGATCTTGGTTTGGACTTAGGATTGTAAGGTGTACCTGAGTCCACCCAGCTTTTATGAGTATCTTACTTATGTTGGGGAAAGTAAAAGCGGCTGGGCATAGTGCTGACCACACTATCTCTTCTTATGCTGAGGTTAAGAAACATATGAACTCTATTTCATGTGCCCAATGGATAGCTAGGTCTAAAGAGGAACTGCACTTACTTCTTGGACATCTGCAATACCAATAATCTATTTTTAGCATTGATAGTCATACTTGAATATTCTTACTACACTTTTTAAAAAAGAAAGTTCCATTTTTGTGGCACTATCGAACACTGGTATTACACATTATCCTTCTTGGCTCTTTCGCTCGCTCTCCTGCAGTTTAATTAGCTTAATTATTGTAAACTATTTTGATTGCTTTTAATTTACACCTTTAAACAAAATCTGAAGTGGATTTAAAATAATCTTTTTTAAAAGGCTTTCCTCGAGATTCTATGGGGACTAATGGAGACCAGTACTTTAGTGCTACTTTTAATGCAATGGGTATCCAAGACTTTCCTCCATTTGTAAGTATTTTTTATTAATTATTATACAGTTAGTGAGAATTTACCTCATACTTATAATTAAACTTTTTTTTTAACAATGGTTTTAAAAATTTGATCTTTTTAATAGATTTCTCTATGCAGTCTCGATTATTAAGAGACACTTTTTATAATTCATTTCAATAGTTAATGAGGTATATTTTATAAAGTTAAGTCAGAATGTGTAAAATAAATTATAATAAATCAGTCACATCTGTAAAGTGAAAGTTTTACTATGGCAATTTATGTAACTAGCTGATAACTAGTGAGCGCTGTTTTAGTAATATATTTCCAAATTATTAACTTCTTTTAAAACATTTTTAGCAACGCGGACCACCACGCCCTAGGAGCAGCATGGGGGCTCCAAACCCTTTACTAGTAAAGCAATATTCTTCTACATCTGCAATGGATCAAATGCCGGATGATTTTGCAGCATTAAATCTTGCTGTTGGGCCATTGCACAATAAAGTATGTACAGTGGAAAAACACTTTACAAATCAATAGAATGAAACTGTTTAATTTTTCTACATTAATTTCAACCAAAAAAAAAAGAAAAAAATAGGAGCTTTATGCTGATTACCAAGTCTTGAACCATCTTAGAAATTCTTTCTGTTATTAAGTATTGTTTTTTTCTTAAAGGCAAGTCTCAATGAATATGAACCAAAGTCACCTGGATTGCCACACAGTTCAAGCACTTCATCCTTTGCCTCGTATGCTTCCATGTTTGGCCAAAACCCTACCACATCTTCATGGCCATATGTTTCAAGTACTGGGGCTCAGTCACCACATAACCCTGGAAACCCTATGTATGGACCAAGTGCTCCAAATGGGCCTGTCACTCCTAAAGCTTCCTCTCTGGGTCCAGTCTTTGGCCCGCCACAACAGAGTCCTGCTGTTTCAACTCCAAATACAGTCAACTTAGGGCCCTCTATGTTTGGTCCTGTGGCCACTTCTACCAATCCCCCATCCACAAATGGTGATAGTTCTATTCTCAATTTTAAAGTTATTGAAAATGAATGTAATTAATTTTGTGTATGAAATCATTTTTAATGAAAGCGGTTTGAAGAATTCTGAGATCCATGTAGAACATTTTCTATATGATGATCATTTAAATTTTTGGGCAATGTCTCGAGATCCAGCCTATTCTGTCTAATATTCTGTCTATTTCTTTGTCTAATATTAATATACTATTATGTTGTATAATTATTTCTCACTCTAAAATTTACACCCATTTCTTTCCTCTTAATGTGAAGTGTTCAGTACATTCCTATGATGTAATCGTAGGATGTACACATGCTATTGATTATTTAAAACCCTTTATTTTGAAGACTTTCTTTGGTTCTGTTTCATGAGAAGTAGGCCCTATAACAATACTTTTGACACAATACTAAAATTACATGCACAACTAATAATTTTATATCCTGTTTTTGTTTTCCAGGTTTGGTTTATACATCTGCCATTAGTCCTATTCATAGTCCTGGCATCTCACCTGCAAGTTCTCCTTTAACCACTCGGCGCCTGCAGTCCCCAGTCACACAGCCTCTCAGGCAGTCAACCATTCCCCAAAAGTCAGCTTCTTCCAGTCTAGTTCAGGTGATCTCACATAAATATCCATTAGATAAGACAATTTTTTTTTTTAGTGCTATTGAAACAAAATTAAACTATATAGATAAATTAACATTGATTACAGTGTGGTAGTATTTAACTTTCTGGTGGATTTTAAATATCTTAGTAAATTCTTTTTATTGCAATTGCTGAAGCATTTTATAGACTTGAATTTTGTTCATAATTAAAAGCCCACTCCCGATTATTAAATGGAGATATAACCAACTGTCCACCAATAAGTTAAAATTACTTTAGATCATATTAATCTGCTAAACTTCGTTGTGCGATTAGTATTTTTATTGGTCTGCACAGGAAAGTGTAGGAGGGACAACTTACTTTTATCATCCCGATGATTTTAAACCACAAAATGAAGGTCCTCAGTTGGTGAGTTAAATCTTAAAATAAATCTTTAAAAAAATTATTTCTTTAATAAAATTTTGTATTACAAATTGGTGTTGGATGGCTCAATAAATTTTTCAGAGTCTGCCGTCTTTCTGTGCATACCCTGGCATACCATCTCATGTTGTTCATCTAAAGATGAAAACTGCAGTTCCACAATACTTCGCACCGGATGAGCTCAAAATGGTACATTGTAGCATATTTACTAGTACAACTCTGCTAATGTAATATGAATAACATAGTTATTTTTTAAATTTGTTAAAAAAATCTTATGGTTAAACATTTCAGTCAGCTGTTTAAAAATTCAATGTTGTCATTTCAGGACATTCTTAACCGTCATGTTTTAACTATGACACAAGTAGATCCAAATTCACCCAATGCAGGTAAAAATGTAATTTACAAGCCCTATCAAATATTTAAAAAAAAAAACCCTGACTTATGTCTATGACCTCAATCACAAAAACAATGAAGTGAACAATTGTGTTTGAAAAAAGCTGCAGATATAACTAAATAATTATGTTGTCTAGCTATTATAATAATGACTTATCTCCAGTTCATTGCCTGAGATACTTTTACTAATATGATTTAAATGTTATGTTTATGAATTAAAATTCCAATATTGATACATTTTTTAAAAGTTTGGTCATCAGATTAGACAAAACCTAAAATAATTTAATTTTTTTTAGCTGTATTTTTTTAAATTAATGAGTTATTTGTTTTCTTATGGTATTATTGATTTTTAGATTTAGAACCTTTTTTTTTCTATAGCTGACTTGCCTACAGAAGTTGACAAATATCAGAACCTTTGTCCATTGGAAAGGTTTGGAGCACCCAAACCTTCCCTGGGTAATCTCCCATCAACAACTTACAAAGCAGTGTGCACTAAAGATGGCCTCTACTACTGCCTCAGGAGAATACATGGTACATAAAAATTATTTACATTATAAAAGCAGCTGAATTATGCACTCATTTATTTACTCATTAAGTTACTACATAAGAGAATTTTTTTAAAAATATTTTAAGAAAGACGTATTTAGAAGTATTTTTTTCTGCTGATAAAAGATGACCAACAAGCAAAGTGATGTTTTACACAGAGCTAAAACCTATGATTAAAATGTATGACACATGTAGACACATTTTATACTTTTCTGCCTTAGCAGAAAGAAGGGCTGTATCATTGATTTCCAGAACGGGTGATGAACTGTTAAGTTTAGATGTTCTGGTATTTATTAATTAAAACTGTAAGTATGTTTTTCTTAATGTCCAGTGGTTGTGGAGTTTTGGTCATCAGTTTGACCTCACTGTCAACTTCTTACACACTTGTATCTTAATGCCAAACTTTATTTTGTGTTGTGTGGCTAGGTTTCCGACTTCCTAACACCAAAGTAAACTCAATTATGGAGAGCTGGAAAAAGCTGTATCACCCAAATGTTGTCACTCTTAAAGAAGTTTTCACCACCAAAAATTTCAATGATAATTGTAAGTTAATGGGGTGTTGTTTTTTTTTTTTGAGTATTTGATACAAAGATCAATTGAAAGAAAATGTCTTATGGAGTTTGATTTTGGTCATGTTTTTTGTAATACATTTCAGCCATAGTATTTGTGTATGATTACCACCCTGGAGCAGAGACCCTAATGTCCCAGCATTTCTCATCACATCCCCACATCAATGGCTTCAGCCACCACCATCACCATCATCACCACCACTTTGCAAGAGATGGGAAAAGTAAATATTTGTTTTTTTATATTTCAGAAAACATTTTAGAAGCTTTTTCTGATACATTAAATTTGTTTTATAATTGTAAATATTTGTTTAACAGATTTGTGCATATTGTATAAGAATGTTGGATGTTTCACTTTAGGTATTGTTTATTCAGACAGCAGCAATCCACGCAGCATGAATAACAACTTACTTCCTGAAAGTCTTATCTGGACCTACATAGTACAGCTGAGCTCTGCTTTGCGTGCCATCCATGCTGCCAACTTAGCAGCAAGATCATTGGATCCCAGTAGAATAATCGTTACAGGCAAAGCTAGGTTAGAAATTTATTTTCTCGTTGTATTTTAATTTAATAAGTAAAGTTGTTTGATACAAGCTTGGTATTTTGCACAATATACGAAGATTATTTCTTCAGTAGAGATTTTATCTTGCATAGTTTTTAACTGACTTCATAACTGTTTACAGAATTCGTATTAACTGCATCGGAATCCTTGACATAATTACACCTGAAAGTAGCAATCCAACTAATATAAATGCATATAAAGTAAGTAGTTTGTTTATTTTTTAAAAGTATGTTGATGTTGCTTTTTCTTTCCATCTTAATTTTTAAAATTTACTTATTTTAAAAACTGCAATTTTGTTAAACTTCTTGATGATTGACTGACTTTTGGTTCCACAGCAAGATGACATGACAGCCTTGGGAAGAATAATTTTAGCATTAGCTTGCAATAATCTGATGTGTTACCAGCGTGACAACATCCAGTCAGCCATTGAGTTGGTCCAGCGCAATTATTCTCCAGATCTTAAAAATCTCATCTGGTAAATCTTTTCCGCTGTTACCTTTTCTGTGACGCATATTTATTACAAAAGTATTTTTTCTTAAAATTGCAACCATGAACTTTTTGCACTTCTGTAAGTTTGTAAATATTTTTTTTAATACACAGCTACTTGCTGCAGAATCCCACTCGAGTTCGTAATGTGAATGATGTGATGCCAATGATAGGTGCACGTTTTTTTACTCAGTTAGATACAGCTATGCTACGCAGTGATATTATGGAACATGAGCTGGCAAAGGTGAGATGTTGTACTTAATGGCCATTTTTATGTGAAACTAAATTAACATAAATCAGTACTTGAAGTTCTCTAGACAATGCATTATAGGATTTGGTGTTTCCATATCCATTTTAAGAAGAACACGGATCCTTTTTAAAAATCAGAGTGAATTATTATAGCTGCTGTTGTAAAACAAAAATTAATCTCAACTTAACTGGTCATTAAACTCAAGAAATGTGCTTTTTTTTATTATAAAGTTTATTGCACTCTTTTAACTAATGGTTACTCTAAATGTCAAACTTTTCATATGCAGGAAATAGAAAATGGACGTCTCTTTCGTATTATGATAAAATTGGGATCAATCAATGAAAGACCTGAGTAAGTCATCTTTATAAGACATTATTTAATATGAAAAATTAATATAAATCCAAGTCACCTATTGGGTTATAATTTCCCTTTCTTCAGGTACATCACATAACTTCTAATTATTTGGCTTTAAACCTCACTTTAACCACCAATTAATATTTAGTTTTAATTTTAATTTCATCAGATAAACAACACTACTACTATTTAATATTTGATCTTTTTCCCTTTCATCAGATACACTACAGAACCTTCCTGGGCAGAGACAGGAGACAGGTTTATGCTGAAGCTCTTTCGTGACTACTTGTTTCATCAAGTGGATGATAATGGCTTACCTTGGATTGACATGGCTCATGTCATCCAATGTTTAAACAAAGTAAGGAGATTCATGTTTAAAATTTGAAGTCAAATTTACAATATATTTATAAATTATTATTATCAAAATAACACTTTTAGATATAAATAAAAAAGTTAGTTGATAGTTTCTAACTTTGTATGTATTGTTAATCGTTTAATTTTAATAGTATTTGTTAAGTGTGTCAATTCTTACTTTAGTTTGATGCTGGAACTCCTGAGAAAGTTCTCCTGGTGTCTAGGGATGAAAACAGCATGCTGGTTGTATCATACTCAGAACTAAAGAGGTGTTTCCAGTCCTGTTTCCAGGAGCTTGTGTCACAGCACACGCAAGTCACAACTACTTTTTCTTAGTCTGTGAACAGGCAAGCTATTTATTGATGCGATTTACTTGATGCTAAGATTTTCTTTTTCCAGTTCAGACTGAAGCATGACCAGAATAGCCACCGTTAGCTTTATGTTTACCGATTCTGCATTCTGAAGGCAAATAGCAATAAAGCAAATATTTTATGCCCCCATTAAATAAACATAACAAAAAAAAAATCAAATTTTGCTACCCAGATTTTTATAATCTTCCAAACCAAATACTCATATACCTCAGTCCTAGCATCCAAAAAATGTGTCTGCTCCACATTGATTTCTGCTATTGATATCCCTGTTGTATCTTGGTGGCTGTGTGATGGATTGTTGCTGTTTGACTTCCAATAACTTTTACTCTGTAAATAAATCTTTCTGGAAGAGAATCTTTTAAAATACGTGATACTTAACATGTTGATTAATTTCTCTTTCAATGAGTCATTGTTGTTTGTTTTAATTAATATTTTTTTAAAAATGTAATCATGAAAATAAGGGCAATTTAATTTTATCATATTTTATGTAATAGAAACAGTTTTTAAAGTAAGAACTGTTATTGTACACTGTGAAAATATTGTTCGTATTTTCAGTTAAATCAAGATACATGTATAACTATATAATAACTGGAATAGCTCTCAGTCAAGTGCTTTTAACTCCATTTCCTCATAGTTAATCTTGAGTCCATTTTTAAAAAAAAAGTTTTTATTGGACATTTATAAATTGACTGACTGAAATTTAGAATCTTGTATTGTATGCTTTTAAAACTAGATTGGGGGACATTTTTTTGCCACTTAATACAATCTGGGATTGTTCTGGTAATATTTGCCAGATTTGTCTTATTAAAGATTGCTTGCTGCTATCATTATGATAAAAATATATATGTAATGCTCATCTCTCTTATTTTTATTTGGTAAAATAACTTTGTTATAATTCATTTTACTACTCGTCAATGCATTTTATGCCTATTAGTTTTTCTTTTAAATCAGTTTTTTTAGATGTACTTTAATTTTAAAAAATAACAGAATGTCTTTTATATACTTATGTGGGCAAGCCAATTAACTAAAATTGCTATGTTTTCTGTCAAAATTACTACAAATAGCTGGTTAAAATCCATTTAAGTGAGTTATAGTAATGTTTTAAAATAATTTTATTACAGAAATAAATTTTTCTTACTTTTTAATAACTTTCATTTGCATTAACAGCATTATCAATGCTTCTTTAGTAAGTTACACCGTACACCTTTTTATTTAAAATAAAAGGGGGACCAACATTTATATTCTGCAATGACACTTAGTGTTGATGGGATGTTTATAGTTAAATAGTATAATTTAACATTAAAATTTAAAAAATAAAAATTATAGCTTTAAATATCCTTTTTAAAATGCAGTATCATCCTAATAAACTACTAGTCATTTTCATTAATTTCTCAGGAGAAAAGTCTTAAAATTTCTGTATACCATTTTCATATCAGACATTTTTCAAAACATTTTTATTAATCAACCACTTTGGTCCAGAAATATGTTAATAGAATATTATAAGTTTAGCCATATTTTCTTTCCTTTTCTTTATCAGTTCATCATCTGTGGTGTATATTAGTGTAAATACTGTCTATAAATGCTGTATACATTTGACTGGGTGGCTTTGCCTGTACAGCACGCCATGATTAAAGACAGAATCTCATTTTTATGCAAAGTAAATTCTGCAATTAGAGAAACCTAATTATATTTTTGAAAATTTGCAATTTTTTTCTATCTTCACATATAAAACAGTCATGCATTATTGCAGTCAAAGCACAATTTTTTAATGGTTTCCTAGTATTTTTATAGTAAATAGAGGAGGGATGAAATTTGATCTTTTGCAAAGCAGCCACAGCTTGGCGTAAAGTCAGTTTGATACAGGTGGAAGGCCTAGTTCATTTGTTTATCATTTTTTTGCATGTGACATGTAAAATGTACATATTCTAGACACTAACATTGAATGTTCTGCCCTATTATGAAAGCTAGTTATTTACCACAAACAAAAACCTGAAAATCAAATGCTGTTTGCAGTACAATTTTTTAAAATACATCTGCTAATGTGATCATGTCATTTAGTGTCAGTGTAGAAAAATCTATTCAACTATTTATAGCCTATTTATTTTATATATTACTTGTGGTCTGTTTTAATTTTAAAAAAATATCTCATGATGTTTTAACCCAAACATTTTTAAATGTGTAAAATAGTTTTTAAAAAAGCATTTGATATATTCACTATTTAAAAAAAATGAAATGATCTTTTTGTATAAACATCTATAACTACATTTCCGTGAAATGATTGCTAGTTTTTTCATCATTATTACAAAAGATAGTAAATTCACCAATTATATTAATCACATTAAGTTTATAGTTTTTTTAACTTATGGAGAGCAGCATTACTTTGCATACCTTCCCAATCAGCTCCTACACCTGTTTTAAGGATAAAATTTCTTACATTGTCATTGTATGACTATAAGACAAACAGTGTGATATCTTTTAACTAAGATCTTTATTGTGTAACACCATGAGGACTAACTTGTGTTCAAAACTGTTTTACTCTAGTTATTATTTTGAGTGAGGTACATCTTTTAAAAAAAAATCTTTATATAAAAAACTGTGTCACAATTCACTCAGTATTTTATAAGTTCATTGTTTTAATATACATTCTTATAAAGATGTCTTGAATAGTTTTAATATTCTTATTTCAGATACGTTATTTTGTTTAGAGTGTTGATTTTGATCACAGAATGGTAGATTTTTTAAATAATGAAAGATATATATATATCTTATTTTAACTTTATTTTACTTTTAGTAAAATTATTTTTTCAGCAATGTTGCAGTTTGTGAAAATATTTACAAATATTATTTAAAGTGGTATTTACAATTTTCTTTTTGTAAACTGCTTTAATCTTAAAATCCCATTCAATTATTTTACCAGCAAATCTCTTGAAAACTTTAGATTGTTTATACATTTTAGTAATTAGATGACAAAACTGATTTTAAAGTATGGAGTGAGATATCACACGAGAACTGTATTGATGAATTCTGTTTCTATGTTCCCGGCAGCTCTGTACATTCTTAATATATGATGGTTTATATGTTTCGTCCAATGTTCATTGTGCCTAACACAAGTAATGTCATGCTGTTTTGGGGTACAGTAATCATCCTGATCTTTACTAATCATATTAAAAATACACAAGATAAGCTTTTTTCATCAGGACTCATTAGTTTTTATATAAATTTTCTGGTTCCGGAGGTATGGAATGTTAGTGCATGTGTTAAAGGTATTCCAATCATGAGAGGGTTAAGTTCTTTGAAATTGTTTTGCTTAAATTAGAAAGATCTTAATTTTTATTATCGAGGTCTTAAGGATCTATATTTGTCATAAGATTCTTTGTAGCAGAAATTTTATTGTGCTGTCTGTAGGATCAATATTTTTCTGTGTTTGAAAGTTGTTTTTAAAAAAAGAAATGTGTTCATATACATTTTTTTTGTTAAAATGGGTCTGAAATTGAATTTGTGTGCCGCAGGGTTTTATTGAAATGCTTGGAGGTGTTCTCCCACCCAATTGTTCTGTGTTGATATGTACATAGGTGGCTCTGATTCAGCCATAACCATGTAATGTTACTTCATGTCTTTGACTTGTTATTGTAAATATGGAATTATAATGAGCCTGACAATATTTTTATGAAGAAATAAAAAAACATTTTAAAATTTCTTGTTTATTATTGAAAACATTACATAAAAATAGTTTATGAAAATACTTCTTAGAAATTTAAGAACTAAATATAAGAAGTGTTGAGTCTTTCATGAATGAGAAGAAGCTTTAAATCATGATGTATGTAAGGCTTAATTCTTAAATGGGTATTTAAATGATCGAGAAGCTCAAAAAATAATACTGACTTTTTAAAAATATGACTGATTCAATTCTTTTTAAAAAAAATTCACAATACCAAAACGAACAGAAAAATTCACTAGCATATGTGAGCTTTTCTAAAATTTGTTGTACCAATTAAGAGATTATTTTTTGGAGTGCAACTTAATGGTTTGAGTGAGCATAAATTGACGGTGTATCCCATTTCCATGGCATATTCTGCCCTATCTGTGTCCACCAAACTCATGCACAGACGACCTATAAGATTGGAAATAAATGCTGCAAGTTTTAGATGGTCATGTTGAGAAACACAAACAACAGTATACATAATTATTTATTCTTATATCAAACAAAATGCTGTAGGATTAAGACGAATATACTAATCTCAATTTCTTAAATTTTTCCTTGTTACCTTTGCTAAGCTACATTGAAATTGATTTTACAACATGAATCATTGGTAAGGTTGTTAAAGAATTTTTCCCAAAATCAGATCTACAAGGCAATGATAAAACCAAAACAACAAATTACCTCTGTCTTCCAAAGCAATATTAAATTCAGTTTGATCTGCTGCATGACCCAGTGTTAAAAAGTCCTATAGATTATAAGTATATAAAGGTATATATAAACTAGTACCAGTTATAAAACAATGCATACTAGCAATAAAATAGATATTAACATGTATCATTCACAAACTTATTAAAAATCTATTGAATATTATCTTAATTTAAATAGTTAAAAAAAGGCCATTATTTTTTCGAGGGACAAGAGTAATTTTTGTGTTTTCACAATTATTTAAACAAGACCAAATTTTAAGCCTTAAAATTTTTTTTTATACATTGGAACTGTCAAAGTGATGAACCAGGGACATAATTTAACCAGCATGGACCAGATACATTTGATTAAATGTTGGAAACTTATCTGAATTCCAATACATCATTTACCTATAATTAAGTGGAATGAATTTGCCAGGAGGAAAGGTACACAAAGTTAGATTTTGTATAAGGGAGGCTATACAGTATTACTATTTTTAAACTAACAAACTTACTTTATATGATAAATCTATAGTAATGAACTTTTGACTTCGAGGATAAGACAGTAAGTGTGTTTTCTGAATGCTGCCATAGCAACAAGGGCATATAACAAAAGATGCTTGAGACTTCAGACAGAGTTGTAAAACCATATCTGTGGCTGATCCACATGCGTGAAGGCAGACTCCCACATCAAACTTCCCCACAAAATAATCCAAATTACACTGAAATTAAAAAACAACAAATCTGTAAAATGATTTTAAAATTAGCTTCCATAATCCTAAAATTAAAGCCTACTGAGTTGTCACCCTTGCTAACATAGTAATTCGGTGTACCATTTTGCTTGGTGACGCATACATTGCTAACTTAATTGTTCATCATTACTAATTCTTTGCCAGCTCCCCAGCTGATAATGTGCAAAAAATGTTACAAATAAATTGATTACCTGATATAATGTAACATTTTTGAGCTTCAAAGAATTTAACCGAGAGCAGGATTTCAGCAAGGATTCCTCTTTATTCTCAACTAAATAGACTTGACACTCTGGCAGCAGATATGCCATAACAATACCCAGATGACCCTGGAGATAATTTTGAATAAGATCCTTTTTTTAATCTATCAAATTATAACTGACTAAGCATCATGATTAAATTAATCTAAAAAATGTTTGAAAAACAAACAAAAGATTCTTGATTCAGTTAAGTTGTAAAGAAAGTGAAAACTCAAAATACTAAAAATAGACAGGATACATTTTAAAAACAAATAAATTAAACAAACAATGTAGAAAATTAAATTTCTACATACTCCACCACTGCAAAAATCAACCAGAACATCTCCTGGTTTAGCTATACTTTGCACTGCAGTAACTAAGTTCTCCAACTGTTGACACTTGCGCTGGTTTCTACTTTCTGGAACATCACCTAATCTCAGGATAAAAAAATAAATTAACAAACTCTTTGAAACCCAGAAGCTTCTTGGCTATAATATATTAAACTAAATTTAGCATGAATTATTCAAAACATGAATTTCCATCTAACTACAGACTGACTCATTGCAGCCCTACTAATATCACTTCACTTATAACAGCTTTCCTTGAAATAAAAATATATTTCCCCTCCTTCAAAAAAAAGCAAAAATTCTGCAGGATAAATGAGAACAAAAAATGAAGTTCACCTTCTTTGGGGTGAACATCTGGTGGCAGGGTTGACCAGTCAATATGAACTTGATCACCATAGGGATGATTTCCTATAATTGGCTGAATATTAGCTGTCTGAAGATAAGTTTTGAAACATTACCGAAAAAAATTGTAGTTTATTTGAGAACAGGTGACAGAAAAACCACTGGCTATAAATTAGTATAAAGAAGTAAGTTTAGTTAAGTAGCTTATTAAAAAAGATTCATAGAATAGGGCTTTTACCTCTAGTTTTTTTAGCGCTTGTATAACCTCAGGTTTTAAAGCTTTGTGCTTCATTTTTGCACATCTCCTGTGAAAAGATCAACATCAACAAAATAAATTTATGACTAAAAACAACCCATACAAAACTGACCTACTGTGAAAATTTTTAATATAAATACTTGTTAAATCTTTAAGTACTAGAATATACTTTTAAACATTCTTATTACTTTCTTAACTCAACCCTCTTCTCCGCTCACTCAAAATACATACGTGAGCTCCATTTCATCATCGTCCAAATTAACCTCTGTTTCTTGTATAAATGAAAGCTCTGCTTCAACACCATTAATAATATTTTTAGACTCAAAGATTTTGTCCAGAGCATCTCTCATGCCTTTGACACTCCACCCCATTTGTTCACCAGCTGATGCAACAGTTGACAGAGATGCCATATGATGAGCCCACTTGAGAATACTTGGCACATGAGCAAACAGGCAACAGTAGTTGAAGTTGAGCATCTCCTAAACAAACATCCAAGATTTTAGCCCTTTTACTAATGAACATTGTTATAAGAAAAGGAACAACATGAATATGGAGTAATGTAAACAATGTTTTCTAACTGTTATTAGCTATCAAAATTATGTCAATGAAAATAAGAAAAACCTAATAAGAGATTTAATTCACTATTATGTCATATAAGAACTTTTCTATAAAATGTTAAATTGTCTATTTTTATTAGATTGTTTTGACTTTTTAATCAGATATTATTTTTTAAAGGAAGTTTAATATTTTTAACAATAATTTGACTATTTAATGTTTTGCTCATAGTCCACATTGGTTTAAAAATGAAGTAGTTATGATTGTTTTTATGCTTGGATATCTAACATAATCAAACCAATAAAATTTAAATTTATCATCTGAAATAATTCTTCTTTTTTTGAGATTTTGGTAACTAGTGTTCTTAAGATTATTACACTCATTTTGCTTAAAATTAAAATGCCTAGTTTATTAATTAATAAACAAGACAAGGAGGGAACTACAAATAAATGATTTAGGAAAGTAACTGCAGGTAACACACAATTAAATAGCAAAGCAATGGTCTAAAAGTCCTATTAAGCCCAATTAGAAACCAATCTCACCAGGAGAGAACAAATATAAACAAAAAGAATAAGATCTGCAAGGGTCATCTCAATACCCTCTGAGTAGGTGTGGACATACTGTATATCAGAGAGGGTCAGCTGCTGCACCAAATCTGCCAGATCAGAGGGTCCCTTCACCAAGCTATTCAAACATTTCAAACCTCGCTCCTCTGTTGTTGTAGAAGTTTTATCAGTACTTGCATCAGTATTGATGTTTCCATTTGTGGAGAGGGCAGTAGCTGTGTTGTCCAGTAATTTTTCTACTTTTATTTTTCTAACACCGTGATGTAAGTATAATGCTTGCTCAATTTGAAGGCAAGAATTGTTATAAGAAGCAAAACTTTTAAAATGTCCCACATCACCATCAATAACTTTCGCCCTAGGGATAGTTAATTTTGTCTGTTGCCCTAGTTCATTAAAATATCTGACATCAACATGTGTAGAGGAGTCAACATTCCCACCCTGCGCAAATTTCAAGACATTGTCTTTTAATCTTATCATTTCAACTCTACGAGCTTTGTCATCATTATGGACTCTGCACTTCTTGAGAAAATGCCCTTCCAACTTCATCAGGTCACAGGGTAGTGTTAACTGTTTAGCTGATGCTGGTTTCCCCAGTTTATTGGCTCTGAAAAAATACATTATAAAGCTGATATTTCTTAAATGTAAATAAGGTTTTTATATCTCAGTAATACCACAATGTTGGCTGGGCAGGGCTTTACTAAGCCTCTTTTTCTATTTAATTAAAGGGGAACAAACAAGACAAAATTAAATACAGACAAAAGAATAACAATAGAATGAGTTAATGAGTTTATAAGTCATTAATATATTGGGGGGAATGAGTACTCATTTTTAACAGCTGTTTTATAAAATAACTATTTTTGAAATTATTTTACATAATAATACCATCTAGTCAATTTTAAGTACTAAATGGTTAAATTATAAGAGCTTACTTTAATTTTAAAATCAGCTGTGAAATGGAATGTGAAAGATCAACTTCGCAAAGCTTTGTCCACCCCGAAACCTAGATCAAGAAGAATATAGTGAGTTTTTTTTAAAGAAATACATCTGCCTAATTATAATATTTTTTTGTAAACCAATCAAGGTTTTGACTACAAAAGTTGTTAAAATAAACACTCTGTATACATACTTCAGCACACATTTTCATACTGCCTTCTCGAAACCCCTGAAATAAGAAATACATTAAATAAATTTCAATTATGACAAACAAACTAGACCTAAGTGGAACAAGAAAGAATTAATAGAAAGATATGCTGTTTTTCTCCAAAAACCCTAATTAAAACAAAAATGAAATAAATTACAAGAGAGATTTACCAACAAATCTATTAAATGCAAATGTTGAGAAGTTTTGTGAGTTTCTTTGATAATACTTCGTAATAGAACACAAAGTCCAGAGCGAACAAGAGCTGTTTCTGGTTGGTAGACAGAGGGCAGCAAAACATTTTGCACTGGTTTAGGTACATCAGGCAAAGTTGTAAACGACCAGCTTAGTCCTGAAAGTATCTGTGACATAATAAAGAATTTTAAAAAACAAATTACTATTTTTTTTAACCAAATTTTTTTTAACTGGATAAAGACACAAAATTGTGGTATAAGGTGTTGGTAGATATACACATATGTGTAAAGGTGAAACCTAAAGAAATTTTATAACAATATGTAACAAAGTGAATGTGTGACTAGCTCTCTTTACTCTCTCCCAACTATTGCCAGGTACTCATAGGAACTGCATGAGCTCAAAGATATCCTTGTTATATCCTTGTTATACAAATATTGGGATTATCAGCAACCAAATTTTAAAAAAAAATCAGATTTGTTATCAATTGCACTACCATACTATTACTATTAAAATACCAACAAATATGGTGTAGTTGTATATGGGTAGTTGTATTAAAACACAATAGTTCTATTAACAGATGTTAAGTATTAAACACATTTCAATCCCACTACTACCTCACATAGCATTATACAACATTTACCACATGGACACTTACTTCAACACTATATGAACAGCAGCTTTCCTCTTGGCTGTGTGAAACAAACATTAACTCATATTTGTTTGTTTGACAGTACCGAAGGATAAAGATTATAACACTTGATGACAGAGGGCATGTGAAACTGGTTCCATCATTGGTTTGACAACCTTGCAAGTAAATTTTCATTTTCATAGCTGCTAAACCGACAGGGTTTTTCTATGTGCTTGTTTTTTGTTACTTATACCATAAGATCCATCACACCTAACTAAATCTACAAAAATAAACAATAATTTAAAACAAACATTTGAGCACAAAGTTAAAAATAAATTTTATCATACTATCTTGTTCTACACAATTGTGCAATGATTCTAAGAATAATAAGTTACGTTTGAAGTTTTAAAAGTATAATTTTCTCTAGATCTAGATGTACTCAGCATTTTAAATTTTGATACAACATGCTGGTTTATGACCCCTATTTTAGTTTTCTTTTTTTTCAAATTTGTTGTAGCTAACACATTTTATTCTTGAATATAATATGTGGAAAACCACATGCACCTTTTCCAGCCCCGCCCCCTTTCCCCTCTGTATGTACCTCATATCATATATTGACATATGACATATAGATCTATGTGTACTATGTATGACCCCTTGCTAGAATATATCTACTTCTCTACATTGTTATCTTGTCTAGACTAGTTAGACCGATTCTTAATAAATTTGGAGCATTGGCATTGACTGATTGAACCAGTCAAATGTCTGACTACTGACTAGATCTAGATTCATCTGGAAACCTGCTCATCCAACGTGTTTCTTTTACATTTCTCTAGAATTTTAGAGATTACATCAGTTCAGTATCTGACTAGACTTATTAAACTAGATTCTAGACTATCTAGACTATTATAATTATAGTTAGTACTTTTAGTAGTTGACTGGTAGTAGTGGTAGACTCGCACAACTTCACAAGTGACTTCTTTCTTGGTGACGGTTGTTTTATTAAATTTATTATATTATTAGTAGGCCTAATGGAGGCGAGCGAGTTGACGAGATTCCGTCCCCAATGTTGTTGACATGGAATAAAAACGTGCTTTTTAGATTTAGACCCTTGGGGGAGCTACCATCTCCTACCGAGCGCGTCCCCAGGTGGCGGATAGGGGAGAGGCCCTTAGATATGAGGGTTAGCTGTGAATACCAAATAAACAGCCGTGGACCAACTGGTTTGTGGTCATGGAGGATGAGGTGGGATATCCATTGGTTAGGATATCCAATAAAAAACATCTCATAAATCCAAGGAAATGACTTCAACGGCGAGCATGGGGCGCTATAACTCCAAACCCGGGCAGATGGGGCTCGTTAGCAGGGGACAGCAACCCATCTAGGAGAGACAACTCCAAAATCAAACAGCTACTGCCTTGTAGTTTGTTCTTGGGTGATCAAAGGCTATGGAAGCAAATCCAGAAAGAAAAGCAGGCTGAAGTCGGAGTCAACGGGCCATCCAGTATGGCGCATAACATGCTGGCACGCACTGCTTAATTTTATGATGGAGGAAAGAAATAGGACTAACAGAAGTGGCGTCCTGCCTGTGGAATCCCGCCGCGCAGGTAGGGGGCCGGGCTCTCCGCCTCGAAGGAGCCCACAAAAGCGAGCTGGTGGTTCCTCTATTCTTGCCTGGCCAGCCAGGGGCAAGGATCAGAAGGTAAATTCTACTGGCCAAAATAGTGAGGAAAACAACAAATTACTTGTTATCCTGCAGTGGAATGCAGAGGGAGTTCATAAAAAAAAGGAAGCCTTAAAAATATTCCTACATGAAAATAAAGTAGACGTTGCTTGTATTCAAGAAACTCACCTCAACAACAATCTTCGCTTCTCTATTAGAGGATACACCTGCATAAGGCAGGACAGGGAAAACAGACCTAAAGGAGGTATCCTCATTCTCATAAAAAATGACATTCCAACAACAGATATCGTTATACCAAACTCAACAGCATCTGAGATAATGGGCACCAAACTCATACTTGCAGAAGGTAACCTAAATATCTTCAATTGCTACTGTCCTCCTGATAAGGACCTGGAACTAGACCGCATCTCCCTGCCAAACAGCGAAGAGTGCCTGGTTGTGGGAGACATGAACAGCCACTCCCAGAGCTGGGGTTACCCTGACCTCAATGCTAAAGGAGAGGAAATTGAAGAATGGCAAGCAGAAAATAGGCTCATCCTTCTAAATAAACCTGATGACAAACCAACTTTTTACTCAAGGTCTTGGTTAACCACGACTACCCCCGACCTAGCTTTTGCTACTAATGGCATATCCAAAAAATGCAAAAGAGAAGTTGCAGATCAACTAGCCACTAGCGACCACCGACCAATCCTGATCCAGATAGAAACATCAAACAGGCCAATTGAAGCCTACCCCCGCCCTAGATGGAACTACAAAAAAGCTAATTGGGAGCTCTTCTCTTCCCTCACAGACTCCTACACAAGACCAATCAACTGTAAAACCAAACAGGTGAACAAGTCATACACAGCCTTCTCAAAAGCAGTTCTGTTAGCAGCCAAAAAATCTATTCCAAGGGGAGCAAGGAAAAATTATATCCCAAACTGGACTCCAGACCTCCAGATACTCCATGACGAGACAATTGATGCTAGAAACATTGTTGAAGAAAATCCCACTGTAGAAAATAACATAAAATTAAAATCAGCAAACGCAGTCTTTAGAAAAAAGTATCTAACTGCATTGAGGAAAAGCTGGCAAGAAAAAACAGAACACCTCAATATAGATAGAGATGGTCATAAACTATGGAGTATTGCAAAAAGGCTAAACCAAGAAGAAAACAGAGCTACTCCCATAGTCATCGACATTGAAAACACGATCAAAACAGAAAAGGATGCAGCAAAAGAATTTATAACCCACTTCAGCAAAGTGGGACAAATAAATATCTGCCACCAAAGAGTAGAAGAGGTTAAAAATCAAACTGAAGTTAAAGAAAAACTACAGAAAGTCTCTCCCCCCTCCTCCACTGGAATGGTAGCTCGAATTAGCAAGAAGGAGCTCGGAGAAGCAATGAAGCTCCTCAAACTTAAGCAAGCTCCAGGCCCTGACAAAATCTCAAATGATATGCTCATGCACTTGGGCCCCAATGCTAAGAAAAAACTGCTCCAAATATTTAATGCAAGCTGGAAATCTGGGAAAATCCCAAATATTTGGAAAAAAGCAATCATGATACCTGTTCTAAAAATAGGAAAACCCAGGAACAAAGTCGATAGCTATCGCCCAATAAGTTTAACAAGCTGCGTTTGTAAACTGATGGAAAGAGTAGTAAACAACAGACTGACCTGGTTTCTAGAATCGAACAATCTACTAGCAGACGAACAGGCAGGCTTCAGGAAGTGCAGATCTACTGAAGACCAAATCACCTTCATTTCTCAGGAAATAGAAGATGGCTTTCAAGAAAAAAAACCAACCTCAATAGTGTGGGTCGACTTTGAAAAAGCCTTTGACAAGGTTTGGGAGCAAGGCTTAATTCTAAAGCTAATAAACCATCAAGTATCTCATAACATGCTAAACTGGATAAAAGGTTACCTAAGCAACCGAAAAGCATCAGTCTCCATGCAAGGAAAAAGAAGTCACACAGTAACTATAAAAAATGGAGTCCCTCAAGGAGGAGTCTTGTCTCCTACTCTCTTCCTCATTTATATAAATGACTTAAATGAAAACATCCCAAGGAGAGTAAAAAGAAGCATGTTTGCAGACGACCTTTCACTAATCAGCACAGAGGAATATATTGGTACCTCAAAATTTCGTCTTCAAGAAACACTTGACAAGCTCGGCAAATGGACCAAAAACTGGGGCTTATCCATCAATACCAAGAAAACAACTTATTCAATCTTCACCTTATCAACTAAACATCAAAAAATGAAACTTACCCTAGAAAACCAAGAGCTAGAAAAAAATGACCACCCCAAATACCTAGGAGTCACTTTTGACACTCGACTTACCTGGAGAAAACAAATAGAAAACACACAAAGTAATGGGATCAAAAGACTTAATCTAATGAGGAAACTGGCAGGAACAGACTGGGGAGCAAATCACCACATCCTGAAAAAAACCTACACCAGCTATGTGAGACCTACGTTAGAATATGGTGCTTCGGCTTGGGGCTCAGCAGCAAAAACAAATATTAGCAAAATTGACAAAGTTCAGAACATTGGTTTGAGAATAATGACAGGAGCCATGAAAACAACACCCATAAATGCTATGGAGGAAATAGCCGCTCTTAGCTCAATAGAAGAAAGAAGAGAATCAAAAATCCTCACTCATTACACAAAGCTAGAGGCACTGGAAAACCATAACCTAAAACAAAAACTCCAGAAACCCAGTCCATCAACCAGACTACAAAGAACAAGTTTCATCAAAGAAGCAAAGAATCTGAAAAAGAAATATGAAATCGAAAATATCATTCCTGAAGCAATAAAAACTCAAAACCTCTCCCCGCCTTGGATCTCCCACTGTCACTTAACCATTATTGACTCAATAGACACCATAGGAAAAAAATCTGACTATGATCTAGAAGAACTTAAGAAAATAACAAATAAACACATTAAGGATCAGTACCCCAGCAATACCTGGATTAGAGTTTTCACAGATGGCTCAGCTGAAGATGCCACAAAAAACGGCGGGGCTGGCATCCTTATTGAATGGCCAAGCGGAAAAAGCCTGGAAAAGGCAATAGCCACAGGCAGCCTATCCGACAATTTTAGGGCAGAAAAAGAAGCTTTAGAACACGCAGCAAACCTCCTGTCAGAACACCCTGAATCACCGAATAGTCAGATTGTATTTCTTACAGATGCCAAATCAGTCCTGCAATCCCTACAAAATCCGGAGTCCTATATTCAAACACTCATGACAGCACTAGAGAGGCTAAAAAATACCTGCAGCAGAATTGTGCTGCAGTGGATCCCGGGCCACTGCCAGATCCAGGGTAACGAGATCGCAGACCAGCTGGCAAAAATTGGGGGAAAGAAACCACAACCGGAAATTTCGCTACACCCAAAAGAAATAAAAAGAATAATTAAACACAAACAAACGCAAATGTGGTCTGTCACACACCCTCACTACATTAAAGACGACGGCTATTACAATTTAACACGAAAACAACAATACATAATCTTTCGACTTAGAACAGGCCACAACAGACTAAATCAACACATGCACAAAAAACTGAAGGTTGGGTGTAGCGAAATGTGTCCTTGTGGCAAGGCCCCGGAAAACACGGAGCACGTACTCCAGGATTGTACTCTGTATAGCCAGGCAAGAGGCAGACACTGGCCCCAGCCCACCCCACTCAGGGAAAAATTATATGGGACACCTGACAAACTGGAAACCACAGTCCGGTTTGTCCATGAAGTTGGACTTGTTGTCTAATTCCTCCAACATATTCAAAAATTAAGAACGAAGAAGAAGAAGAAGAAGAAGATTTAGACCGTAAAAAAAAATAAAAAATAAAAACTTAAGCCTAAAATTAATTTAGAAATTTTATATTTTTAGAATAAATGTTATACAAGTTGCAAATCCAGAGAACTTGAAAATAATTTGTTGAGTTTAAGGCTACATTTCTATTTATTTTCATCAAGCCTAAGTTATAACCGGATGTTTCACTTTCGTAAGACAAATATTGATTGGCTGTACAGTAACTTAGTGATCGATAACTATTTGTTTACAAAACTTTGCAGATCAAGTTTTTAAATTACAATGCAAATTTAAAACCCCATGACCTAGTTTTCTATTTTTAGCTTACAATGTGTACAATAAAATCAATGGCGGCCTATCCAATAGCAGGATGCCATTGTTTATGTCGCCATTACACGTGAAAACCAAATTGTTTTTGCTTTTTTTTAAATTTTTATTTAGTTACCGAAAATATTATAAACATCAAATACATCCAATCTTTAGTAAAGTCCTAAAAAAACCAGATAGACAGGATTTTATAACCATATTAATTGTAACTACGCAGTGCATGATTTTTAAATGAATTTATACACCTCTCAAATACCTTTGAGACTTTTCTCGCTGGTGTCCATTTATTTAAATTTAGTAATTTATTAGCCTAAAAGTTAAGTAAGTAGGGCCTAATCAATTTACTAATAGTAATAGGTTCTAATGTAATCTCGAGCAGTCATAGAAGTACTATTCAAATGATTTGATACTGAGAAAGAAAAGTAAGTAAGTAGATCTAGATTTAAAGTAAGTTATAAATTCATTAAATTCGCTTGAAGTTGAAGATCAAACAACAAACATTACATTTCATGGAATATTCCGATCATGGTTTTTAACAGAACATATTATCACCAAAAAATCTTACTTTTACGTTTATTTTGACGAAACAAAAAACTTAATAGAGGATCTAGTCCTAAGGCTTATTAAATTACTAGTCTTAAATAAATAATTATTTTTCTCTTTAAAACAACCATGTTGCTCTTACCAAACACCATTCGAACACATAATACCAACAAATTTTAGGCCTAAGCTAACCGATAAATAAATACTATATAGGCCTAAGTTACTTGTATAAATTATTATAATAGTATAGGCCTATGTAATATAAATGTAAAAATGTATGTATAATTGTATATAACTTATAAGGCCTACTTATACACACACATAAAACTGTATGAACTACCTTTCATTTTCTTTAAGCTTTTTGGTTTTAACAAATGACCCGCAAACATGCTATTCTCTCTCAAGTGAATAAACCACCATAATTTTTTTGTAACATTATGTTGTAGTCTATTTCTGACTATTTCGATTCTTATTCATATAGCCTGTCCATGTATCATAATATTAAGTTACTACAGCTTTATTGATCTTGTGTCAAAAGGCAATTAGTAATAGTAATATTACTTTCTAAAACATCAGTACATGCTGAGCAACATCAGCTTCTATCTCCAACCCTTCATTCTTATCTCCCTCTTTATTGAGGCTAGAATACCTAGATGTAGGTCTATGAATAAATATATATATATATGGACTATAAATATAAAACTGACCTGCTTACTGGTAACCCATTGAGAGTTGGAATTTATGGTCCATAATCAGCTCTGATGGGTACCTAACTCACGTTAGGGAAATTAAAGGCGGCTGGGCATAGTGCTGACCACACTATCTCTTCACATGCCGAGGTCACAGAAACAAGTGAACTCTACTTCACTTGCCCCATAAACCGTCAGGTTTGAAAGGGAACTTTAATCAAGCAGGAGTGATGGGAGATAACTTTGGTGATCTACCACTTTTATGATTGTTTCTTTTGTTGCAATACATTTTAATATAACTAGTATAAAGTTAAAACACATAAGCTTTCTGTTGGACAACATTTTTAATTTCAAAATAAAATGGTTTCACTCTAATTTTTTTTAACCAGATGAATACTAAAGGTACAAAAATATTTCTTTGGCTCTGTAGAATGTAGATGACACCTTTTTAAAATAACAATATATGTTAATACTACACATAAAACATAAAGATGTTACAAAAACTATTCATGCTTTATATTTCCTATGAGTATACATAAGTATACTTATTCTGTTTGGTGAGAGCACTACATATAAAGCACTAGATCAGTACCGGGAAATGTGTTTCATTTTACAAACAAATTTTACAAACAATAAAACATGTATCACATAGAATTAACAGAGATTAGACTAGTAATAATTTTAAATACTGTTAGAACTATTAAGTTTATTCACCACTACACCTCTCAAATTTTAGTTGTGTTAGGATTAAACTAAATTAAAATTTAGATTTTTCTTATGTTAACTTGTATAATCTTTAAGCACCAGGAGCTTTGAGATTATATTAACAAATAATGTAAATGACAAGATGTCAATTTATGAGCTGTGTAAAAGTTGTAAAAATGACAAAGTTTATACAATAGTATATAGCATTAAATAATAACAATTTAAATTCATGTAAATATTATTATATAATATCCTTAGAATACAAGCGTGATCTTGAGGTGAATTCTTTAAGGGGCATGTTCTGAGGTATTAAGAATTATGTACGTTGAAAAGTGAGTTAAATTTTTGTACACAAACATTTACATTGTACTATTATGAAAATAAGCCAATTGAATAATTATACTTTAAACAAAAACTAGAATAAGCCTAATTTATTTAGGTTTTCTAGTACATCTTATTTAAAAAGCAATTATTCAACTGTAATAAACTTAATTAAAGATTGTGGTAAAATAAATTATAAAGTGAAAATTACACACACATTAAAAGAACATTTAGTGATTACATGCAAATAATATACCAAAGTTACTTGACTCACAAAATGGATATTTGTATGTTAAAGTTAAAGTCTCAATGAACAAGGTTAGCTAAAATTATTCTTTTCTATTCATGTTGATAAACAGCAGATAGAGTACACTGAAATGTACATTAAAACTAAAATATCCTTAATTATAGCAACAATAGTGAATACTATCTGCTTCAATAGCTTTTATAATGTGTATTCAATGTAGGTTGGTTGTAAATTTATATGATTATTGATACCCTCAGTATTAAAATATATTACTTAACCTGAACAATTCACCATCCTTAAATTTGATTTAATTGTTATTTTAGTGACCACTAAACTTTCTATATATTTCCTGCATATATGAAATTGTTATCATTATTTAAATAAGTGCTTCAGATTATGCAAAGCTAATATTAACTAGTATGATTATCTTCTAAATTTTAAATAGTCCTAATTTATACATAATCAAAGCAGCTGAAAATCAGCAACTAGTGACAGGTGGTCTGATGGATAGGCATAAGATGGTAGAAAGTCTTTCCCTATCTCATCAGCAGTTGGGAGTTTTAACAATCCAGTACAAGCCAGAGAATTTTCGCTGTAGAAGATGTAATCGATAGTGTGACAAACTTCTTCTTTTTCACCACCTTTTCTTCCAGCTCGAACTTTCCACGTAGTGTAAGGTGGTTCATCTTCATGTAAGGAAAGATTGGTATATGCACTCTTCAACATCAGCTTACTAGACTTCATAACTTTCACAACTTTTTCTGTTGGTTCTGCATTAAAATCACCACATAATATCACAGGAAGACCATTAGCTTTTTCACTAAGAACCTTTTCTAAATATTTTCCCTGTTGAAATCTGTACTCCTCAAAACCTGTTTTAGATTTAAGATGAGTAACAGCACATAGAAGCTTCTTCCCAGACATACTCTCAAAATTGCAAAGTAATGCTACCTGATTTGTCTCTATTCCCTTGTCATTTAAAAGTATAATACTGTCATGTGAGAGTAATTTGAATTGAGAATTGCGCCAAAATATAGCACACCCATCTGCGCCGTTGTTGATTGCTTGATATAAACAAGGTGAATCTGGCTTAGGAAAAAAGAGACCACTAAAACCTATTTTTTGCATTTCTTTTTCAACAAAAGGATAATGATCCAACTCCTCGAGAAAGTATATATCAGCACAGTAAGTCAAAAGCTCTTCCATTATATGATGTTGCCTGTAAGACCAATCCAATGCTGCATTTGGGCACAGAATGAAACCATCGCTGGTCTGGCACAGAGCTGAAAATATATGGAAATTTAAAAATATGAAGATTATTGACAGAAAACAGCGTTGATTACAAGATACAGGAAATGACAAAGTTAATTTTAAATTATAAATAATAATAAATAGGCAAGCTTTGAAATTTATTTCATACCATCACAAGTTAAATAAAATAACACTTCTTGTATTATTTTACATAAACTTGCAAAATAATTAATCATTTAGCAGCATTAGTGATTTTATTTTGACAGTATTGTGTGGTCCACAATACCTAATTTTGTTTTTAAAGGTTCATATTTTATACATAAAGAACCCATTAAAACCATATTTTATTATTCTAAAAATCCAGAATAATTTACGTAAATTCTTATGCAGAAGTCACTGAAACAGATGAACTATATAAAATCTGCCATGTGTCTTGACACAAACAGGGAAAAGATGAGATTTTAGGCATTTTTCAAATACAAACATGTTTATAACAACATTTAGGCTATACTATATGGTAAAAATTTAATAATAAGAAGTAAGAAGTGTATGCAAACCTTGAGCCAAAAGATTCCATTGCATTACTCTGAAAGCATTCTCTTTCTTGTATGAAGTAGTATTGCTCTTTGACAAAGAAATAAAATCCCGTTTTATGAGGGGTGTAGTGTTAATAGCTGCACTTTTTTCTCTAACCTCTTTTAATAGCTGGGTATATGTTGAAGAGTCAGCCATGCTTTCATGAACTTTATGGAGATCAACATAGATCTAGATAACTGAAAAATATTTTAAAAGTTAAGGCACACTTTAATTTATAATCATAAAAATCATATAGATCTAGGCCTAATGGATTAATTATTAATTTAAAATTAATAGGCCTAGTCATTGGTTATTTAAAAAAAGCATTCTGAAAGAGAGCAACAGCAACACAACAATGTAATGTACTAATTACTAATCTAGGTAGACTACATAATTTAAATTAATTTTTAATTAACTTTAGGCCCTACATTAGAAATAAGTCTGGAATCTAGGGATTTAGCTAGATAGATTCTCATTAATTATGTACCCAACACTGTGACTAAACTGCACTGACTCACTATTAATTTATTATTATAATATTATACTCTAGATTTCTAGATCAGATGATACGCTAAATAGTAAATAGAGTACTAGACTAGATTCTAGATCTATACTGTAACTAGACTGTAGAAGAGTAGTGTAGAGTGACTAGATCTAGATTTAGATAGGCTGCTAGATGCTAGTGGAGCGTATCTACTAGATTTCTCTATCTGCTCTAGACTCTAGACTGGGGCTAGACTTGAGTCTAGAGTAGACAGATTCTGGACTCTACTCCAGAGTCTAGATTCTAGTAAAGTCTAGTTCTAGACTCTAGCAGCAGACAGTGAGAAAATTGAATAATCAAGATCTGGAATCTAGACTAGAATCTGGAATCCAGATTCTAAACTAGAGATTTCTTCTAGATCTAGATTTTAGATCTAGATCTCTAGATTCTCTAGTCTGTAGTTTAAACTCCACTTAACTCTATATGACGTACTTGAGTACTCTCTCTAGTCTAGTCTACCCTTCTTATAAAATTAAATCTGCCGAGCTAAACGAAACGACGAAACGTTCCGTTATTTAAAAAAAAGTTCAGAAAAATAGATATCTAGACAATGTTAATAACAGGCTAGATCTAAAAAAGAAACAACACTATATCTAGAGATCTACCTGCGATTATTTAAATAACTTCTCTAGATCTAGATCTACACCTCTTTCACAACTCAGGACTTGTCTAGCAGCTAGAGAGAAGATGTTCAACTTTTCATTAACCACTGGTAAGCAACGTCGACGATACCAAGTATCGAACGATGTTTTTACTAACTATTGTTCGATTATTTCCCTTTTTATACCCCAGAATTACATTTTTACTTCGGAAAAACACACGAAGTGGCACTCCCACATGCCTGCATGGTGCAACGTCGATCGATTATGAAATCAATGTTCACACCCAGCTTTGACAAAGACCATGAAGATATATCCTAGAACATTTAGACTATTTTAATGCCGATTTGTCCTTGACCTTTAGGATATCCTTGCAACACAAAATAAATTATAAAAGAACCACTTGTTTTTAGTTGAGTTCATTATTTATTAGCATTTTTAAAGCTTAACAAAAACTGGCAAAATTTCTGTTTAAATTGTAAGAAAAGTGAAACCACTAGGGTGCTCTATTTTGAGCAAAGTCATAAGGCTTACAAAATGACCAGTATCCATAAACTGTTGAAAGTAAGAAAAAATACAACCAAAACATAATAGCTGAATCTTACTATTGAATTACAAATGGATCTAGCAGCTTATTATAGCTTTTTTAAAATTTACATTTTTTGCAGGTCAACATAATACAAAATATCTTTGGTTTTATGAGGTGTGAATACATCAATGCAAAATAATTAACTAATCATTTTAGTTTAGAAAGATACTGATTAGATTGTTAAAAAGGATAAAGATTGTGTGGCCATTGACACATTTTTACAAACCAAAGTGATAATTTTTTCATTAAATTTTTATTTTGTCATGTTTAAATAACAAAATATTTGAACAGAAACTAATACACAACATTGCCAGTTAAGCAAAGTTAAGTTGTAAAACACCAAAGAACTAAACTTTCATTAAGTTACTACCAAATGAAAGCCAGCCCTAAACCTCACAAACACATAAAAAACTATTACTAATATTTAATTATGGTACATAAATACAAGTTTGTTTGAATAATATGTATTATGTAAAGCTGTGTGTTTGCTGCAATTTGTTAAAATGATGACTGAAGATAACTGATATTATATACAAAAGTTTTAACATTTAGGGAGGTTTATGTACAATTTTCTTGTATGTTTAAATTGTTTAGCGAGGCATGTTTAGCAGATAATTAATTTTTAGCAGATTTAACCTTTTCAATTTGAGGTGTCCTACTATTAAAAAGACGTAGGAACTGAAAACTAAGTTATAGCACCATGCTCAATAGTTCCCATAATTGAAAAAACTTAAGAACATTTTACAAATATTAACACAACCGAAGTATAAAGAAAAGATATTTATATTAATTTTAAATAGGTGAAACATAAAATGATATTTATAACTAAATCAACTCTTTGATTTTAAATTTCTTTGAAAAGCAAGTGCAGGGAATGTTTAAGTAAATGAACAAAACTAGTACACTAAATTATAATTCTTCAATACAAAACAAAATTTTAATTTGAAAAAAAAAAGTTATCATTGAATCATCACTGTTCATCTACAAGAGGTCTGCCTCTTCTCATCTGTCTATACTGGTATTTTAAGCTCTTTGAACGATATGCTGTCAATCCCAGTTTCAAAAGGAAAGCCAAAGATGCAACACCAAGCAAGACAGTGGCCATAACAAATGAAACATTTGATGGGTTATAGTTTTTGGAAATGATGGCTGCCAATGCCCAAATCATAACAGCATATGGTGCAAGAGCATAACGGGTGTATTTCTCAAAAGCAGTCAGATCTAAAATTATGTAAATAGCAAACAAAAATGACAAGACCCCCATGCATATAATTGAAGAATTCTCACTGTAGATTGGGTGCCTCCATTTATATGTCAAAACAACACCAAGATTAATAACGGTTGCCACTGTGGACCATGTTGCGTACATACCAATACCATTTACTACTGCAATATTCAGAAAGTTAAGATCAACATTTCGTCCTTGGTCAACCAAAACATCCTTGAACATGGCCACTCGTATGCAAATAATAGCAAATGTCAAAAACAAAGAAAGGGTAATGCAAGCAAGAAAAACTAAAGAAGCCATAAACAGAATACGATCCCATAAAAACAGCCAACCAATGTTAAAAGCTGAACTCAAGTTAAAAAAAATAAGAAATGCTGGTGAGAGAATGACAGGGTTGAGGTATGCAGGTCCGTTGTTTGTTGTGCGGCAGATCAAAGCAAGATTATAAATCACCCAAGCAAACTGATGAAGGTAGATAACTCCCCAAATAGAAAAAGCCCAACCGGCTGGAGTGATGTCAAGGGGGTACTGGTAGGAAACTGTTGAAATTCCACGAACAAACAAGCCTGGGAACAAAGAAAAAGCATTATAGGAACAATTTTAATTACCATTAATAATATGTGCAAAGCAATGATAAAACAAAGATTTGATTGATACCCAAAATTATAAAAAAAAAATAATATTTTCATAGTAGGCCTATATGGATGAGATTATATGATAATTATGCTAAAGATGACTTGGTAATGAAACAAAACTGTATTTTTACCATGACTAATCTCTGGATTACCAGCGAGGAGATTCAGAAATAGCACTGCAAATAGTAGGAGGGCTGTAAATATAATTAGGCAGATAAAAACTGGGCTATTTCTAAGTTTCTGCTCAACAATGTTGAAAGAGCAGGCTGCTTTCTGACCAATAGTCCGTCTAGTTGCTTCTTTTTTCGGTGCTTCTTTTTTGTCCACAATCTTTTTTGGGGAAGTCATTCTAGAATAAAAACAAAGTTACCCTTTTATAAAAAGCTGTAAGCACAAAAAGAATAACTATAGATTTGTCACACAAGAGACTTGAAGTTATTGAAACTATTAAAATTGTCTTATATTTATAAACATGTGCAGATCATCCATTAGGAAGAACAGGGTCCATATTTTAATAATAATTAATTTTAAAACCTAAACTATAAATATATAAATTAAATAAAAGTATGACATAGAAAAAGAATGTACATTGAGACATGCTTAAACTATTAGTAATTTATAACATAACTAGGGTTTTAGTGATAGACAGTAATGGACCATAATGAGAAAAGTCTCAAATGGTTCAATAAATATTTTTAAAATCTCTATGTTATTCAAACAAATGTAGTTACATAAACTGGATTGTTTAACTTCTGTTTGATAATTATTATTAAAGACTGAAAGACAAATTCTAAAATTTTGGCATTTTCCATCTTCTGATTAAAAAAGCTTAATATTTCGTTTGGTAGCATAACGGGTGTGGTAAAATCAACAGTGCGGTAGTTTAAGTTTAGTTCATAGTCATACATCATAGAATGGACCCAAATCCTATGGTCTCTTCACTTCTCCTTCCCCCCCATTCAAGCAAATTGAAAACAGACCTACTTCTGGTCATTTTTTTTTTCTTAGTTCACATAGGCCTATACACTATACTTATAGAGTTAGATCTACTACCATGCATGATAGATAGCGGTAAAAACAATTTACTAAAGAACAGTTTGATCTAGATCAGGGGTCTCCAAACTACGGCCCGCGGGCCGCATCAGGCCCGCGAGGTCCTCTCATCCGGCCCGCTGACATCTTTTTGTCCACGGAAAAAAACGTTAGTTGGAGTTGGCTGAGGAACTTGCTCAGAAAGTCACGACATGCCTGGAAGAAACTGGCCCCCGAACTGAAATTTGGTAGTTAATACGGCCCTCGGACGGAAAAGTTTGGAGACCCCTGTTCTAGATTCTAACTCTGTCTGTTGTTAGTTTAGTAATTATTAACTTGTTAGTTGTTAACATTAGATTTTTAGATCTAGACTATCATCTAGATTCTAGACCTAGAATCTAGGTCTTAGGGGCCTATGCTATACTATACTGCCCTATACATTTACTAGGCCTATACTATACTTATACTATCACACTCTAATGACGTTATTGTGACGTTAATCTACTTAATACTTATTCTACTACTAGATCTAGATCTAGATCTAGTACTTAAAACTACTTTTTAGTAATAGTATTTAGGCCGATTCTAGTCGGAATAAGATATGCATGCGATACGCATGCGCAATGGAGAGAAACTACGACTTAGCGGTGATGTTTTCGATGGTACTGCGCATGCGTGTGTTTACAACCGCAGAACCCTAATACCAACCCTAATCCTATCCTTAACCCTATCCCTAATCCTATCCCTAATCCTAACCCTAACCCTAGCCCTAATCCTATCCCTAACCCTAGCCCTAATCCTATCCCTAACCCTATCCCTAATTCTACCCCTAACCCTCATTCTAACCCTAGCCATAGGTCACTGCGCATGCGCAGAACTATCTTTTGCCGAAAAATCTTATTCCGAGTAGACACTTCGTAGTAGTATTTATTAGTATTCTATTCAATACTTCAGAATTAAATGGAATTATAATTCTAGAGATTAGTTAGACTTGAAAATATGAAATTAAAATTACAAGTTTTAGTTTAAGTTTACAACTTTTACACTACTGACTACACTACACAGTTTTAGTTTACAGTACCTCAGTTAGATTCGGATTAGAGTCAGTACAGTTTACAAGACAAACATTGAACAACCACAACAAACAAAAAAATGAAAATGTAAAAAAAAAATGTCCCTGTTAAAATTAAACTAGTTTAAAGTAATTAAAACACTATATGAATATTTCAGCATAGAAAGCTTCATACTTTCGTCTTATCAGTGTTTCTAGGACAACAGCAAATTCCTCTCTTGATATCGGTAGTTATAATATTATAATAACACCATACTCAGTAACAACAAAGCATCGTCTGACTGAGCTAATCTAAGCCTTGTTTTATTTTGTTTTAGGTCAAGCTTCCGTCTTCCGGATTGAACTATGCGCATGTGTGGGAAAATCATGATCATTATTTATGTTGCCTAGGCTCAAATTATAAATAACAAAATAAAAATATCTGTCTTTATGAGCAATGTTCACTTTCTATCCAGCTCCGTTTACAACACAACAAACTAGAGGGAGAGATTACATTTCTACCTACACTCAGAACATAAGCAAAGTTCTTTATATTCATATTAAGAATAATGCGGATGTCCATACTCCATACTCATTGTGAATGGGGGGGGGGGGGGGGTGTTCGGATGGTGTGACGTCACACATGTGCATTATTAAAAAGTAATGTTAGAATTTAGAAACTGAATTTTAGCCTTTCTTTTGCGTTTTAAGAAAACTGTTTGTGTAAATTGTAGAAATTGATTAATATACTCGATGTTGACCGATCTCAGGCAAAATTTTTAGAAAGAAATCGATACTTGAAAAAAAACATCTGCATTTGGGGATGGGGGGTTGTAAGCAGATGTGTGACGTCATTTTAGGGTAGCGGGCTGTTTTTTTGTGACAGGGGAGGTAAAAATCGTCATAAAGTGTGAAGTCATTTATGATTATGAATGACCCCAAAGTCAGGTCGTCTGAGCACGGACTGTCCATAAATAATTTTAGCAGACATTATACTTGTGCGACATCAAGCTGGCCCGACTAATCGCCCTAAAAAAAAAAGTCCACCCCCGTAAATTGTCCACGATAAATGGGCCTCGCCCTATAGTCACTCGAAACTAGTGTTTGGAAATTATTTTCGTGGTAAACAAGGATCTACCGAGAGGAAAATTGAACCTTTCATTTAGTGTTGAGTAGCTGTTCGTTGTTTTTTTGTCTCCGTTATAAGTCGTGCTTGATCACGTAGGAAGGCTGAGTACGAAATGTAACACTGGGATCATTGTTATTCATGATTTCATCATAAAGTCGTCCGTAGTAGAGCAATAACTTCAAATATTTCAAAGTTACTGCTCTTGTCATGCAAGTCTGTTATGAGACTCTCATACAATATGATGATTGTGCGCACGCAAATATCAAGCTTATGCGGGGCTTTACAAAATATTATTATTGTTAAGGAGGCCGCCCATAAATGACGTCACACTCGTAGGGGTGGGGGGGGGATCCGAAATTTTGTTACGGTGTTTGATGAGGGGGAGGGGGGTTCAGATGGTGTGACGTTACACTTTTGCATTATAAAAAGCAATGATAGGAAACGAGATTTAGCCGTTATTTTTAGAAAACTGTTTTAATAAATTGTAATAGGAATTGATTAAGATACTCAGAGGCGTAGCGACCCCTCCCGGCGCCAGGGGACAAACTTTCAATTTGCCCCCCCCCATATATTTTTTATATTTATAATTCAAAACTGCAGCTAAAATGAGCTTATTTTCGCGCCCCTAGGGTCGGCACCCGGGGACATATGTACCACCCCCCCCCCCCCCCCCCCGTCGCTACGCCTCTGAAAATACTATATGTTGACAGAGTTCAGACAAGATTTTGTAAAAATATCGATCTTTTAAGAAAAATTCAACTGCAATTTAGAGGGGGGTGGGGGGTTGTAGGCTGAGGTATGACGTCATTTTAGGGGAGGCCTGGCTTTTTGTGACGATATATGACGGAGGGGAGAGGTGAGGTAAAACTCGCAAAAAAGCATGACGTTATTGATGGATGACCCTTAATTTCTTTTTTTTTAATTTTTAAATCGCGTGCCACGCTTCTCTGTAAAGTGCGGACTCCTCTCTGGGCACTGTTTTTACGACTCGAGGATTTACGATTTTATTTCTATTTTATGTTTATGCGCAGGGATTTTAAAATAAAAAAGGAATTTCCGAAAATTAGATGAATGGATGAAAAAAAATCGGAAGTTAACCAATGCGTTGATATTATACATCAATGAGTGTTGTTCTTCCTTCTTTGTTGTGCAGGCATCTTCAGTAACACAGTATAGGCCTACTTGTTGGTGTTCATTTAACAACCAAGCACACTGTGTTCATTGGGAATCTGTTATGTCAATACTATAACTATAGGTGTGTAGAATTGTTGTTAATTGAAAGTAGTGGTAAAAAAGGGAGTGTTAAAATAAATACCCCCCCCCCCCCCTCTTTTTTTGTTACCTCAACTTTAAGATTAAATTCGACGACAACTGCAGAATGGAGGTGAAATAAATTTAAAAAAAATATGCGCTGCAAAATCTTTAAAGTCTTTGAAAGGAATTTAGAGATTTGCGAGTTCTTCAGTTAGGTCTAGTACTAGCCAAAAGTTTCTATCGTGATTTGTCTGCCAGTGGTCAGGGAAAAGTTCAATAGGTGGTGGGTACAGTGGTAATCCTGCTATGTTGTCTTCTCCCCTGGAGTATAGGCAGCCTACCTCAACTGTATAGATCTCTCCGTTCTGCGCAATTTTCTCAATCTGGTTCCACGTTTGACCCAACTTGATGGGATCTGGTTTTATTGCGTCCTTTCGGCTTTAAGCAACTAGCTTCTAGTTTCTTCCAAAGTTTTCGAAAATATTTCTACAGTTGGCTTTTTTTATGGGTCTTTTATTTATTTTTTAACATGATGGGGTTGCTGGTCCTAAAGCTACCACTACCCCTTAATGGCGGCGTTGTCGCCCCCCCCCACATTGCGGGGTCTGGCGACACTGTAGTTCCGCCCCTGCTACCCACCCTCCTTTATCCTGGCTTGCATTAGGTAAAGCATTTGCCCGGAAATCTTCCAGATCTGGTTGCAGTGATAGTGATAATAAAATTTTGCTGGTAGAAAATCCCGTTACCTGAAATTGTTTTCCTTCTTACTACAAATATTGTCCTTAGGACACTTATATAAGCCATATTTATAAGCACTTAATATAAACCATATTTATATTTATATCGACACAAATTCACCCACCCCTATCTATTTCCTTACCACTAGAATACTCATCATTTTTTTTGTTCCTTGTGGAACACAGGGCCCCTACCAAAGCTTTTAACTCCCTAAGGTCTCCCGCTACTCTTTTCAGCTGTACCCACCCTTTCGGCATCCTCTAGCACGCTATGCCGCCATGTCTTCATGGGTCGACCCCATGCATCACTTGTCCTGAAGGTTCCACTCCAAGGCCTGTCTAGCTCTATTGCAAGCTTCCTTTCCGAGCTAGTGCCCATTCCATTGACATTTCCACACACCTCATACAGTTTCTCGTTTTCTACATTGTCTTGCCATTTTTGTAAAATATACTAATAGCAAAACGTGTGGGGCGGCAGTTTTATACGACTGCTAACCCAAAAGTATCGAGTTGGAAACTGGATTTAAGTCTGTAAACGTCTGTGAGTCCACCTAGCTCTGATGGGTACCTAACTCACGTTAGGGAAAGTAAAGGCGGCTTGGCATAGTGCCAACCACACTATCCCTTCATATCCCGAGGTCACAGAAACAGGTGAACTATACTTCTCTTGGTCAGGTTTGAAAGGAAACTTTAACTTTTTTTTTACTACTAGATCTGGATCTAGTAATACGTGAAAAAAATACCACCATGTAAACTTTAATACAACCCCTCGTCTACAGCAAAAAAAAAAAAAAAAATGAACTACCACAGAAACCAATTTCGATCCAAGAATGACAACAACAGTTTGAGTAAAGCGTCGTCTTACGGCAACTGTGAGCCTGTTCGGAACAGGGGATCCCTGCCAAACAGCAGAGTCCCCGCCTCCACTCGGACACAGAGAACCGTGCCGTTACCCCCCATTGGGTACATGAGAAAAATGAACGACGACGCGAGGAAACGACGCGATGACTTGCTGGTTCAAATGATGAGAGAGTTTAGTATGGGTAAGTGTACAGTGGGACGTATTCAGTGTTTTTTTCCAGACTTTTTTCGCCTGGGGGGCACTTGATATTTTCGGGGGCGGACCAAATTTTCCGGGGGGGGGGGGGGGGGATGGGCGGTAGAGATGACTGGAAGAAACACTGGACGTGATTTAGGAAGGCGACACTAGGGTGGATGTGGGAGCGGTGCAGAAGATGACAGATGAACATGAGCCTAACTTTTTAGACGTAGGGGGTCACAAATAAATGACGTCAAGCTTTTTTAAAACGATTTTTACCTCACCCCTCCCCTTCGTCAAACATCGTTACAAAAAGCCAGACCCCCCTAAAATGACGTCACAGCCTACACCCCCCCCCCCCTCAAAATTGCTGTTGAATTTTTCTTAAAACATCGATATTTTTCCAAAATTTTGTCAGAACTGTCAACATAGAGTATTTTGATCAATTCCTAGTACAATTTATTAAAACCATTTTCTAAAACTCGAAATAACGGCTAAAACTCGTTTTCTAACATTGTCACACCATCTGACCCACCCCCTCCCCCTACGAGTGTGACGTCATTTATGGACGACCCTAGCCTGAAAATAAAGCTATTGACTGGAATTTGAACAGGAAATAATGATAGGCGTATAGGCTATAGCCCTTACTATAAGCCTAAGTTAATGTGCTTCACTTTAAATACCTTAATGTTCTTGTGGGCAGGGACAAAAAATAGCAAAATATATAGAGAAAAACTTGAGGAGGGGGTGCAAATCGAAAGTTTGAGGGGGGGGGGGGGTTGAAAATCGAAAGTTTGAGGGGGGGGGGCGCAAATCGAAAGTTTGAGAGGGGGGGGGGGGTGCAAATAGAAAATGTGAAAGTTTATTTCCGGACAGGAAGGGTCGCTACGCCTCTGGGGGGTGACACCATTAAGTGCCGCACTGGGTGACACCCGACCTCGCTACGCCACTGCGTTCCATTTTATAAATATGTAATTCTTTAGTATGCCTCATTGAAATAAAAAATTGCTTTTTAATTTGCTTTGTACAAAACTATTAAAATGATCCCTTTTGGCACCTCTATTAGACTATTTATATAGGGGTTTAAAGTCATGGAAGCTGTTTGATGGTTTGCCTATTTTTCAAGCTACAGCTCAAATAGTTTTTTTTCCTATGCAACTGTGTGCATTAGTTACTGTAGAACACACAGTGCTGTAGTAGATCTGTTTTTTGTTGTTACAAAACCACTAGTCTATCAAGAAGCAATTAAAAATTATTTTGTTTTTGGTCAAATTTAGGGTTTAGGGCTCCTGCAGTTAAATGGCCTGCCCCCCCCCCCCTCCCCCCAACTTGCGGTATGGTAGTTTCGCCACTGCTCTAAACTAACCTTAATATTATGTTCATTTTTATTCTAGTTACATACAAATCGTATTTGATACTGCTTCACATTTGAAAAACCTCTTCCACCCCCTACTCCCCCTTTCTCCCCACAGGAGTAAATCTACGTCCTTAATTCAGGTTATAAAAAAAAAACACTACAAAGTAAATAAACCGGGAGTGATCTCCCCTAAACTTTCTCGAATATTCTTATACTTAAAGTTTTAAAAATAGAATAAAATCTCGTAGACAAATTAATTGCACACCAAGTGAACGCGAAATAAAAAGCGCATAATAGTGCGCAATATTATTAGTACTTTTAAAATTTACATTAGTTTTTTGAGAAATCGGAAGTAGCGTAAATTACTACTTTCGGTCAACGGAAATTACTCAAAATTTAACAGAAGGTAGAGAATTAGATCTTTTACTTACATGTGAAATTTCATTTATCTATCTGAAATAGTACTCAAGTTATAGGCTTTTGAAAAATTCAAAGTAGAAAAAGTACCACTTCCGGTTATCGGAAATCGCTCAAAAGTTGATACGGATCTACGATTTTGATATAATACTTATATATGAAATTTCATCAACCTAGCTGTAACGGTACTCAAGTTATCGTGTTTACACACGGACACACACACAGACACACACACACACAGACATATGGACAAGATTGCAAAATTATGTTTTTCCGTATCAGTGAGGTGTAAAACAAATCTCGATTTTTTTTTTTGCACGATTACAATACTTTCTCTATACTACGTATATACGAGAAAGTAAAAATTATAATTTTGTAGCCTATTTCTGACATGATATTTATCAACAAAAGCAGTGACGGAGAGTCAATGCGCAAATCAATGGTTGGCCTTGCAATAAATTACTGCAGTTTAGGTATGATGGTAAGTTATTGTCCCTAGCGCCTGTAAAAAAACTATTCCCCACGGAGTAGTCTATCTAAAGTAAGTAAAGTTATTCTTAAGTATCTGTGACCTCGGCAAGTGAAGGGATAGTGTAGTCAGTTCTATACACAGCAGCCTTTACTTTCCTTAACATAAGTCAGGTACCCATCAGAGCTGGTGAGCTCAGGGACGCCCTAATGGACTCGAGTCTGATCTATCCAATTATGCTACGCTATCATAGCTGACCATCTCAATGACACAAAATAAAATGGAAAAGCAGAACCTCTCGATTCCTTCACTATTACTAGTCAAAATATTTTTATTTTTCCACCACTCCCCTATAGCAGTCTTTCTAGAAACAATGTCCATGTTTTTCAATATTTTCATATTTAAATTTAAAAGTACCGTACTAGTAATACAAAATGTATGATACATCTCAAACCCTCTTTTATGTAGCTCATTCAGTTTCTTTCAAGCATCTCTCCAGGGGAGGAGTGGGGTGTCCATAGCATTGCCCCCCCCCCCCCAACAAAGAAGAAAAAAAATTAAATTAAAATATAAAATATATAAGTAAACCATTACCCTAACCCTCCCTGAAGAGACAAAATGTCTGAAAGAAACCTTGAGCTCATCCTCGCAGAGATCAGAAGTAGCCAACCTCCATGTAGGTCAGCAAGACATTTTTGGATGCCAACTGTTCTTTCTTGATAAAAAATTCCTGTACAATCCTCAAGGTGTTTAATATATTTAAGTAAATACTGAGTGTTGATGTGTCAGGTTTTTTATCATGATTTGCTTTGGTGAAAGCTATGATGAGCGATATGCCATTGTGTATAAGCAGCACAAACACACATATTGAAGCTGGTATTGACACCATTGGTGTAAGAATCCCTCATGGACCTCCAAAAGACAAGTGATCTCACTTTGTTACAGCTATTAATGATGGTGTGCTTGTGTTACTTTATGATTAATTTCTAAATAGTGAACACCATAAAACTACAATTTAATGATTTAAAATCATTACCTGTATGTATTTATATATGTGTAGCCTCTATGTGTTTATTATATTAGAGGTGTAATTGCCGGCTTAAAAAAAGATAGCCTTTTCCCTGATGAAATAAGAAACAAACTGTTAACAACTGAGAGTTAAAAAAAACCTGATGCATGTACAGTGTTCAAAAATAAATGTTTAATAATAACCACAATTATTTACATTTATTCAGGTCTTTTGACTTATACACTATTTTACTGAACAATAATTTTTCTTTCTACTAATGATTATAAAAGTGCTTATGCACGCTTTCTAAGATTTCAAGATCAGATGATTTTATACTGTTTTATACTAAATTAAAACATATTAACAGGTTAACCTTAGACTAAACCTACTTAATATTACAAATTATAATTAAAAAAAATAGGTATAAATGCTAAACATTTTAAAATGTGCAACTACATAATGCTAACCTTATTCATTATGTATGTTTTCTATAACTAATCTTAGAGAACATTAATTTTTAGTTATTTAATTCCATGGTTTTCTGTTCAACAATCACACATTTCAAACAACTTAGCTCTTGAATCAAAGGCATCCACACTCTCTATAACCCATCATTCAAACATAAGAAAACATCAGTAACATTTACAGGCACATTAGCTCTTTTTCCTCTCAAAGGGGTCAGTCCAGACAGTCATATCTAAAAATAAAAAAGAGAATTATATGGCAACATTGCAAATTTTAAAAATCTAATAATCTTTTTAAAATACTAAAATGATTTAATTTGTCTTTCTCAGTTATGTTTCTTATTTTCACATTAGCAATTTGTATCTAAAGTAATGTGTTACAGTTAAAATAACATCAAAACTGGGGTTAATCTAATTTCTTCAATGTCTGACTGACAAAAATACTAGTTCACTAAGCAATTACGTAATAATCTGGTACAAGGGACAAAAACGAATTCATATAAAACATCTTTAATAGTACTAATTAATAAAATTAGGGAGTTACAAAATAACATACTTCCAGGCTGTATCTTTTCTCTATCAATATCCTTTCTACCAATACTTTGAACCTCCTCTGTTGAATAAAAATAGCTTGTTAGTTTTTAAATTTATATCAACAAATGGCATACATTACACATGTGTGTGCATGGTATGTGGCCTGACCTACTGAAAGGAGATTGTTTATATTATTGTTTTGAGTTTATATATAACTCAATGCAACAAGCCCGCCGGTTGGTTGAGGCCGCGCCGGGGGGACGTTCTGACCGGGATTCAAAGGGACGACTCGAAATATCATCCAAATATAATATGTCAACTTAATTAGTCTAGCAGTACTAACATCTTATTTTATTTTTGAATTGCGACACTAAAAACTACAATTTAGATGACAATTGACTAGATTTAAATTTTGAACAGGGCCTACTTTTTTTCAAGGTGAATACTTTTAAAATATTTTCATCGAAATGTCTGGAGTCTAGATTTAGTTAAAGTAAAGGAAAAGAGACTAAAATTAAAACTTCGTTAAGATTAAGAAGTAAACAAAATGTCACATTTAAAAAAAATAAAACAATAAAAATTAAAATTGTCTAGTCTAGGCCTAAATTACACTAATATTAGGCCAAGCCCTATTATAAAAATATAATTTAATTACAATTATTAGTTAAGCTAACTACTAATAAACTAACAATAATAAATAGATCAATTAGATAATTTATTAATTAATAAGATATAGGCCTAGGGCTAGGCCTATATTATATTATATAATATTATATATATAATAGGCCTATATTCCTATATATTATATAATTTAGTTAGGCCCTAAGATTTTTAATAAAATTATTTTAAATTAAGTTAGAATTACTGAATTCCCAGAATTAGATCTAGAATTCTCTTTAAGTTCAAGTCTACTCAGTCTCTACACTACAGTACAGTTAAAACAGTAACAGTACAGAGAGTACAGTCTATTCCTTCAGTCTACTGACTCTACTCAAGTCTACTGCTTACTAAAGTAAAGTTACTTACTCCATGGATTAGGATTCAAATAGGGTGCTATAATTATAGGGTAAGAAGCAATAGCGATTCCTCCAATAACTGATCCAACCATTACTATAGATTTCAAGTTCTGTCTTAGTTCGTTCATCTTAAAAAAAAAAACAGAACAAATCTTTTTGTAGAAATCTAAACCTTCAAACCCTCACATAGGAGGAAAGTGGAGAGCAACTGATTTGTTTATTCGACCTTTACTTGGAATAGTTTCCCCTTAACTATAGTTACGGGCGGAATAAAACTTTGTTTACAATAATATCCAAAATATTAAATACATAAATAGAACTAGTAATGCATTTTTTTAAAAACGTAATGGCAGTACCGTTTACATCTCAACAAATGTATTTTAATTTAGCAACAACGGTTTTATTTGCATTTAATAAATTATGAAGCGTTATTTATTATTTAATATTAGAGGCGTTGTTGAATTGCCAGAATAGTATTTAAAGCCAAAATAATTTATGTTATTTAAAAATAATTGCCATACAAATATAAGGTAGATCTATCTCCTGTAAAAACCTATTTTATGCAACATCCCTACATTTCTGAAGCTTAATTCAATCAAGTATAATGTTTTTGTATCAAAACATTCTATTCTTACTTGTTTCGAGTGTCTAGATCTAGTATTCACTGTTTTTTTTATCAAAAGGAATTCTACAGTCTGCTGAGGTTATTGCACTAGATGATGTAGATTTAAAACCATTATATTTACGTTGATAGACAAAATGTTATTGTTTGAATATATTATTCCATTAGAACATTACTAGATCTACCAAAATACGTTTTTTTCTCTTGTTATGTGGTTATACATTTCTATATATTTTAGAATGTTTGTATAAAAACTTTTTTTCTTTCAATCTATAGTATTACCTGGTCGTTCCGTTAGTAGGCTATTGAGTAAATATTAATCTGCCAAGTTCAGTGTCAACAAAACAATTTTTTTAAAAGAATGTTACAGATATAGACTAGATTTCGAGATTCTATTTGCTGTTTTTATTTAGTCGTACATTTATTTCTTAGTGCTTTATAAAACTAAAGATCTTTTGCCTACGTTGGTTATCATTCGTACATCTTTTATTAGATGTAAGTGGAGGAAAAGCTTAATAATCCATTTTTGGTAAGCATTTTTTTTGTGTCTCACTCACTGTTCAGTGTTTGTTTGACAGTCTACCACTACTCACTAGTCTACCAGTTTTCACATCTCTGCCTCGCCTTTCAGCTTCTAAATTAGATCTAGATCTAGAATCTATATCTTGCATTTTAATAGATTAGTTAGTAATACTAGTAGTCTAGTTTTAAATTTAAGTGGTACATCAGAGTAGTACATCTAAGACATTCTAAGAGTCTAAGAGTCTAGAGAATCTAGAGATCTAATTCTAATCTAGATCTAGTAGTCATCACTACTAGACTTAAGTACTAGATCTAGACTAGACTAGATCTAGTAGTTATACTACTAGACTAGACATACTAGTACTACCTACTACTATAACTAACTAGTCTTATTAGAATATTAGCCTAATATTTAATAATAACTTTAATTAGATTTTCTCACCAGGCGTAAATTAGTTAAATCTAGATCTAGGCCTAAGCCCTAAATCTAATATTTAGATTTTCTCACAAAATCTAAAATTGGATGATTTTTTAGATACTGATGTCCGATAATAGACTCTTCCATAAAATAGGTGTGTTGGGTTGTAGTATTGTAATGTCGACTATTAGAAATTAGGGTTAGGCGTATGGTAGGACTAGCTAGGGTTGGGGTTAGGGCTAGCATTGACATTAGCTAACACAATGTGTGTATCTACTAAGGGGTCATCCATTTATGACGTCCACCTGGGGGGGGGGGGGGGAACAAAATTGACTTAAACGGACGCGTGTGGCTTTAAATAGGGAATTAAGTTTACTTTTGTGGACAAGGGGGGGGGGGGGATTCCAAAATCCAAAACAATTTGTGGACATCATAAATGGATGACCCCTTAGTAGGCCTATTTAGTTAAGTTAACTACCAGTTACCTAACAATCCTTTTTTAAAGAAGATTCTATTATCGGACATTGGTATAAAAATTCCCCCCTAAAATGAACTAAATTTTCAATTTAATCATGACCACTGAATAATAGGCATCCATATTTAATCCATCCATAAGGCACTAATTTTGAGGTTTTTAGTTCCTTTTAAACTTAAAACTAAAGACATACCATTCCATAATAACCTATGTTTTATCACTCTTACTTTTGAGGCCACAGAAACCACTAATTGGTTTGACTTATTAAGTAATTATTTACCAGAGTTCCTCACTAGTGATGAACCTAATAGGGGTCAAGTGGTTTTTAAAAAATAAAACAAATTTGGCTGTGGTATGAACGCCCGTCTTGTAAAAAAACAGTTCACAATAGGCTATTTGATTTCTTTTTTCGTAGACTGATAAAACAATAAAGCTTTACTTTCTCGCTCATTTTTGTACCTATACCGTTGATATTTGAAATTTTTTATTAATTGTAATGAAACCAATTTTTTAATTTAGGCTCCATTCTCCAAATGCTTTTCCTTGCCACCTATGGTTTGTTTTTATAACATAAAAACCTTCCCATTTTGCTTGTGGTAATCATTTTAAACATTAATTCTAAGAAGGTAATTGGAACTAAGATGAAAAATCGTCGGAAGTCATGCATCCGGTTTGGACGCCATATTGTCCATTAGCAATCAGCCACGCATGTAGGCTAGCAAACAATTCTATTAATAGTACTTTATTTTACATTTAAAATAAATAGTAATGTGAATCAATTTATTTCAAAGCATCTAGGCCTATTAGTCAAAAATTCAATAGGTCTCTAAAAATATATATATCTAGGCCTATGCATGAAGACAAAACATTGTTGATGATGACATTATTAATAAGCCAAAGTGGAATTTTACCATTTTGTTTTTGAAGGCATTTTTTGACTATTTAAGAGTGATATATTTATAATAACTAATCATCTATTCCTACATGTCAAAAAAATGAACAAAAAATATTTTTTTCTGGCGCAAGAGGGATACATGTCTATTTATTTCTATCTCACATCAAAACAACACTGAGATTTGCTGAGAATAGCAAAGTTTCCATTAATCATAGTGAGGACATTCCTTTACAGCCAAAACTGCACATTGGCCCCCAGTTGTTATTTGGGGTCAGGGGTCACTACTACCCTACAGCCAGAGTACAAACTAGTAATTTGAGTCTGGTGTAGAATGTCTATATCAATAGTCTATTAGTAGTACTAACTGTTATCCCCCTTTTTTAGATAGCAAAAATTATGTTATAGTGGCAATATTACCTTTTTGGACACTGGTATGGGGTCATCCATTTATGACGTCCACACGCGGGGGGGGGGGTCCCGAAAAAAAACTGACTTTTGTGGACGCATATGGACTTTTATAAGGAAAAAAATTGGATTTTTGTGGGGGGGGGGGGGGGGGTCCAAAATAAAAAAAAAATGTGGACGTCATAAATGGATGACCCCTATAAAGTATAAAACATACTCCACCAAAAAAGTATAAATAAATCTGAACTTATCGATGATCACTCACTTAGGTAAAAATAATTCTTATTTGTTTACAATAAGCTTCACTTGGCCCTGTAATAATAGTATTACTCTAGCAGACTTTAGTTAACTAGTCTACATAGCAGAGGCCTTTCACTAAATAGACTAATTCTGATTGAATCTAAACCATTCTGATTCAAAATTCTAAGCAATGTTAAACTCCATGAATTGTTATATTATCTTTCCTTAAACTTAGTTTCTAAGTTAACCAAGCAAAATTAAGTCTTGTAAAGGCTCTGAGTCTATTCTAAATTAAGACTTGAGTTGTACCTTAATTTAGACCTTCTGTCATTATTAATTCCCTACTCACAATATTTTATCACTGATTAACCTAAGTAGGCTCTGTTATTTTGTTTTGCAAGTTTAACTAATAGTTGTTGTTAAGTGTATAGTCCATTTGGAATAAGATCAGTAGGTTCTCTTATTTTAATTAATAAGGGAAAAACCATTTTGGTTTGGAGTAAATCTAAATGCTTTACTCTTAAATGCTGAACAGGCTTAATTTTTTTTAGATTGCAATAGGCTATTGACCAAAGTTACAACTGTAAAAAATCTTTTCAGAACATTTAGATTAAACATGTTATGTTCTTATTTTACACAGTGTAAATCAATGGGGTCGCAGTAGCTATTTATCTAAAAATAGTGTGACAAGTGCAATACCCACTTGTCTTAACTTTCCCCAAACAACTTACTTCTTCCACACCTCCACCCCCCACCTTTTAATAGAGCTTAAAGCCAACCAAGACTTTGAGGTCAATGTTCACAGGCAGTTCTTGAACCTCACCATCACATTACACATTAGAGTGGTGTGTTGTATTGAATCTTGCATGAACATTTTTTAAATGGGAAGATGGCTATCACAAGTAGTGTCTGGTTTTGGCAGTGGAAATATTTGTTTTTATTTAGTGGTAACCTTTTTTCTGGAAAGAGTTTGATACATTTTGTATGCATATTTTGTGTTTTAGTAACCATTACAATTATTGATGTTAAAGAAAGACTTTATAAACGGGTGTCTACATCATAACTGAATATGAGTTTTAAAATATTATCTATCCTTCTTAGCAGATAAATATCAATCAAAATCTGCTTTGTGTCTATACAATTTATTCTATAAGTTTGTAATACAATATGATTGTGTTACTGTTGTCATGAAACTTATAAAGTGTCAAAAATATGCATGGGATTGGAGGATCTATTGCTTTATGAGCTTTGTGAGTGGACTAAATATGCTTCTATCATTCATACTACTTATTTAGACCAATAATACACCTGTTTTAGAGACAACCATGACCATTAAGATATTTTTTGGTATTGCTTTTACATATCTGACTGATAAAATCTTACTGAATTATCATTAAGATGTTTGACCTTCTGTCTGTCCCGACACTGTAACAGATTAAAAAAATGGTACAAGTACCACTAATATCTTGGTTGGTGTGGAGTGTTGAGGACTTCACGCTGCTTTAAAGGTGACGGATATAAACATTCAAGACACTTAGTGATACTATTATTTCAAGAAATACAGTCCCCAACATTGAGATTTCTTTTAAAAGTTAATCAAACCCATGGTTTTGTTGCCGAAGTAGCATATTTCATATCCATGTTGGACTTTTTATTTCCGACTTTTGTAACGGCATTAAACTTTAGACACTATGCTTAATGGGCTTCAGAGTTTAATTGTGCTGTGTATAAATCTTAAGTGTTTTGCACTATTAAAACACCTACTTAAATTATACGAATTGTTTTCATTTGCATTGGGCTGATACTGGTATGGTTAGCACTTATAGCGAGATCTTGATGCTTTGACTTTTCGCCAGTCTCTCAGACATAATATA